TGAGGACAGGCATCGTCTCTTCTCAGAATTGCTCAGCAATACTAGTCATAGAGCTCACACGAGTGTCTTGGATCATCGATGACCTAAGGGACATAATATATGTTTAGAAAAATATCCATTCCCAATTCCTACAAAAATAATTTGAGAACTTGGGTGTCATCATCCACGCCTAAAATCCCAGCACTTGGGAGGTGGAGGCAGGGTTGCCTTCAGCTTTGAGGGCAGTTTGGGTTACATCGTGAGACTCTGTCTCAAACAAAACAACCCCATCACAAGTAACTTGAGAAATCCTTCAATAAACTTCATATAGTTCAACTTCTGGCATCATCTTAGTTATTTCATGGTTTTACTCCACTGGTGGTCTCCAAAAGTCATTTGCTTATACATCTATTTAAGGATCTAAGCCTTTGCTTGTAACATAGTTAGTTCATGCTGGGACCAGTTAATTGAATATACAGTTTGAGATTAGCATGCCAAGAGACAGAGAAGAGAGAGAATAGAAATTAGACCACGCTAAGAGTCTTCAATTTAATCATAACACCGGAGACTCACTGAAGTTTTTAAGAATGGACTGTTATAGTTGGCCTTCATGAATTCTACACCCATGGATTCAAACAACCACATGCTGAAAAAAAGAAATTATACTGTATCTATATTGAGCGTGTATTCTCTTGTCATTTGCTAAAAAAATAGAACATTTATGTTTTTATTGCATGTTATCAGTATTCTAGAGAGTCAATGTATATATAGATTATATGCAAATAAATATCACGCTGTTTTATATAAGGGGCTTGACTGGTGAGCCATAATTTTCTCAGTAGCACATTGCTACCTTATGACAGACTGTGTGGAGTATTGAAGATAAACGAATAAATGAAGTATCAAGCATGATCGTTACAGAACTTACACAAATAATTAGACACAAATAACTTACATAAACCATGAAATCCCAGCAACCATGTGGATCTTAGACATTTCTTAGGGCTTTGTTCTATCCCGAAAAATGGTTTGATTTCAACATATTAAAGAGTTTTAAAAATTATTTACAAATGATTTCAGAAGGTGAAAAGCCCTGTAACTGGCCTTCTGAATAATGTCTAGTGTATTACTGCTATCTACCAGCACTGGGACTAGCTGGGGCATTTCTTGACTAATAGTACAAGATACTCAAACATGTTATTAGCATAACTTGGGCCTAAATATTAAATGTCAAACTCCTTAAGCTTTACAGGCAAAACATGCATAAATTTGCAAAATCTGGGAGCTAGGTATGGTATCACCGTTGTAATTCTAGCACCTAAGAGGCTGAGGCACCGATTGCTACATAGTTTAAGACTAGCCTGAACTACACAGTGAGACCTTGCCTCAAAAAAACCTCCAAATTTTTAACAACATCTCTTGATAAGCTAGGCACGGTGGCACATGTCTGAAATCCCAGCACTTGGGAGGCTGAGGCAGGAGTATTATTGTGAGTTCAAGATCAGCCTAGGCTACAAAGTAAGCTCAAGGCCAGCCTGAACTGCACAATGAGATCCTATCTCAAAAAGACGAAAAAACTAAAAATACAATGTTTAATAAAGATGACAGGTTTTAGTCTTTGAACAACAAAAAAAGATTCTTAGAATCACTTACACTTAATGTGACTTTTAAACTATCTTTTGTCTCACTGATATAAAAAGTCATCCCAAGCATGCCTGTAATGTGGAAAAAATGAACTATAACCAAAGTGTTTAAAATAATGTGCTAGTTTGCTTTCAGGCCTAAATATCAGACATTGAAATTCACACACTTCAATTTCCTAATGAAAATTAGAAAAAAAACCCAGGAACATTAGGACCAATTTTATCACTTTCACATCAGCCATTCTGGGAAAACTGCTTTACCTCATTTGCATATTTCAATCTGCCTCATCTTTCAAAATTTTTAAATTTATGTATTTGTTTTTGAGACAGGGTCTTGCTATGTAGCCCAGGCTGGCCTCAAACTTGCAGCAATTTTCCTGCCTCAGCCTCTCAAGTACTAGGAATATAAGCATGCACCACTGTTGCCTGGCAATCAACATCATTTTATGGCTCTACAGGCTACTAATTTGTTGCAAGTAACACTGCCACTGAAATATTTAGTAAAACAGATTATAGGTAATGAATACAAATTCATATTGTCGAGGCCAACTGTTAAGCTACAATTTGTCTAAGGATTTAGTAGAGTAGATGAAATATGAATGGCATGATTTATGAAGTGAGATTAGCAAGATTTGTGCTCCCCATGAATAACAAAAAGCTGAATTTATTCCATGTTAATATAGAATCCTTGACATTTTATGGCTTGTAGGAATCATTTAATAGTACTTTAACTCCTAATGCTGTAGATGTTTGCCCCTTTTACTTTGTAAGAGTCTTAAAGTAGATAATCATAGAAAATTTAGTTAAAATGAGACTAATTTCATTCTTTTACATTCAAAAATTCTCTCCCACCACAGACCAGTAGTTAATAAACTGTTTTGATCCAAGTGTGAGTTCATCATGTCATAGAAGTCTCCAAAAAGAATCACCAACTCACTGTATCAGTTTCCAGTTCAAAAGCTTTTGGCATGAGAAAGAGCATTTTTATCTCTATTTTACATCCAATTACGTGGGTTTCTTTTTGTTGTTTTTTAAAAGTAAAAATGTCACATTTCATTGTTTAGGTACCATTCTCTAGCAGTTTTACAAAATGATCACTAGCAAGGCTCTTTTTTTCAGTATTTATGGGTATCAAACTTATGTTGACCTGTTAATGACCTTGAGTATTGCTTGCTAAGAGAAATGAAACCTGAACAGTACAAGATATACACAGGAGGTTCCTTCATAGTTCCAGTAAGCTTCTTAATTTTTCTTTTTTTCTTTTTTCCGGTACTGGGGATAACCTAGAATATATATTCTACTAGTCCCACTTAGGAAACAGTATTTTTATCACATGCATTTCTCAAGTTAAATTCAGCCAAATCATTAATGTCCCTTCCATATCACCTTAAGAAAAAGAAGTGTTTAGTAGAATAAATCAAGCTTTCTATAACCACAGTATTTTTTTTTTTCCTGGTACCGGGGACTGAACTCATGACCTTATGCTTGCCAAGCAGGTGCTTACGCCACTGAACTAAATCCCCGGCCCCTTCAGTATTCTTATTATATAGTATTCAAATACATAAAGTCTACATTTGAAATCATTCCTTTATAACTTTATCTCCTTAATTAGGGTTGAAATCAGATATCCTAATTCAACTTAGTCTCATATTTTGCAAATGAAGAAAATATAGGCCACAGTAGTAAAATTATAGTTGGAATCCACATTCTTTGGCTCCTACATCAATATGCTTTCCACTATACCAACTGTTAAGCAGTAATGTAAACAAACTGAACCATAAGAATCTTTTTCTATACTGGAGACTGCAGGTCAGTGCTTTACCACTGAGCTATATCTTCAGTCTTTGATATTCTGAGGCAGTTGCCCAGGCTGGCCTTGAACTTTCAATCCTGTTTCAGCCTCCTGAGTAGCTGGGATTACGGACATATATCACACCTTGCCTGGCTCTTAAAAGATAATGAGAGTTATAAATCATTCCTAATAGTTTAAAGCAAATGTTTATAGATCTTATATAGTAGTCCCAACTTAACCACAAGGGTTATGTGCCAAGACCCCCTAATGCATCGATGGTAAAATTTTTAGTTTCCAATGATAACAGCCCTCTGTGTATATGTGCCATAGATTTCCCACCATCACACCAAATTTACCAATTGTGCTACAAAATCACTGTATTTTTACCCTAATTATACTGTTTTTTCATATATATCCATGACATATTTTGATTTATAAATTAGAAACAGTAAGAGACTAATAAGTAGGTCATACACAGTGACCCATGCCTATACTCCCAGCACTTAGGAGGCTGAAGCAGGAGGATGGCTGCCAGTTCAAGACCAGCTTGAACTAGCTAATTCAAGGCCAGTCTGAACTACAAAGTGAGACCCTGTCTCAAAAAACCAAACCCAAACAAAACAAAAAAAAATAAGTAAAAATAAAGTAGAAAAATTAGTTGAGCAAAGTGTTGCTTGCTTGTAATCCCAGCACCCGGATGCTGAAAGCAGGAAGATCCCAAATTCAAGATCATTTTGTAACACCCTATCTCAAATTTTTAAAAAAAATTTTCAAAAGGGCTGGAGATGTAACTCAGTGTGAGGTCTTGGGTTCAATCCTACTACCAAACCAAACCAAACAATAAAAAGTCAGCTATAGTTGTACCTTGACTCACAAACTCAACTCTCTCCATGATTCTAGTTACAAACTGAACTGGATGAGAAACAAACCAAATTTTCTTATGAGGTCACCAGTGAACCTAATCACTGAATTTGATTTGGTTCTCATTGTACTTGGTTTGCAACCAGAATCAAAATAATCAACTTCATGAACCAAGGCACGACTATATAACTGTATAAAATTAGTGCCTTTACTCCTGCATATTGAAGGGTTAAATATAAGAACTGCAGTAACTCCATAGATAAACTTACATGGACACAAAGGTAGCATACATAGTGGATCAAAACCTGATTTATGTTCTGAGCAGGATGGAACAGTACAGTGTGGGATTTCATCAGGCTACTCAGAAGGGATAGCAATTTAAAATTCATGAATTGTGTATTTCTATAAAATTCCATTTAACATTTTTGGACCCTGGGGTAATTAAAGCCACAGAAAGTAAAATCTCAAGATAAGGAGTACTAATGTATTGAAATAAAATGGGGAGCTTAATTCTTCCAATATTGTCTAACTCACAAAGTCTAAATAAATATTAACTTTTTTTTTCTTAAAGATAGGGTCTCACTATGTAGGCCAGGCTGGCCTTGAAGTCAATGGGATCCTCCTGTCCCAGGGTCCTGAGTGCTGGGATTACTGACATGTACCACCACATCCAACATTAGCTTTCTATGTATGAACATAGCGGGGGGGAAAAAACTGTGACTAAGTAAAGTACTTCCAGTTTTTATTTTTAAACATTATTTAACAAGAAAAACATTCAACCAATTTTTAAAAATTAGGGTGGGTTAATTTACATTAAAAATAATCAACTTAAAATATCAGCCCTTTTCATTTAGGGCCAATGAGGCCAATAGTTCCCATTTAAACAGCAGAATTGTACAACTGATATTTTTAAGTATACTGGATGGCACAGAAATATAAAAGTCATACGACACCTTTTCCCTCCAGAGTGAAGTTCAAACACTTGCTTCTTAGGTTAGTACTTGGACTTTTAAAAATCAGTTATATTTGAAACACTCTTAAAACTAATCTGATAAGCATCCTTTTAAAACAATTCTTATAGAAAACAAATACCTTAATTTTGTGGCACATTAGACTGCTTAAAGTAACACAAATATGAAAAATAATGTACAAGTATTATAATCTTTTGTTTAGAGAAACTACTCAAATAAAATATTTTCCCAATTACCCTTGCTTCTTATAATGTATTAGCTGAGATGAATTATGAAAAGAAAACTGCACCATTTTTTGGTTCTTGGTTGTAGCTGCCAGCTTAAGAGTTCATGACTATAAATAAGCAAAATATGACTATGATCACAAATTAGAGAACAGGAAAAAAAAAATCCCAAATCTTTTTTAAAGTTCTTGTCCATCTTTGTTTTCAAGTCATGATGTAAATTCACAGCAGTTTAAAGATGATGAAAGATTAGACTGGGGACTCACTAGAGCAGATTAATTTTATACTCCTACAGAATCAAGTGTGTTACAAAGTATGTTACTAAATTAGCATTGCATAGTAGACTACTGGAGCAAATACAGCGTTTAACAGATTCAGATTAGGCCTGGTAGCCTTTAGACACAACATCTTATCTTCACACTCTCCAATGTGCAACCTTGTAAAGAAAAAAAAAACACACACACATCCAACTAAATCATAAACAAATTATGTAATTTCTGACAGCTGGCCAGGCACTTTATGCTGGGGAAAGTGAGTTTGAGATTCTGAGGTACACATTTTCAGCAGTCACAAACATACTCCACAAACTATATTTTACGCCACCTTGCTGAACTTACTCAGCTTTTTAACACTAAGTTTGCCACTCTGTTGTGCCAAAGTGTAACCTTTAAAGAAGCCATTAAAAGACCTTTTCAAGTTTAAATCCTGGCCCCATTTGGATTCTTTGCTTCTGTGCTTGGAACATACTTGAGAAAACTTTAGATACATACAAGGACTTTCTCCCTAATTTGGTGATGAATTTAGGAGAAGTTTTAGAAAAGGTTAGACTGCTAGTCACAAAAGACACTTAAAACCAATCATGCACAAACTTAGAATATGACTGAGGTGATAAACCTAAAGGGGCAGCGCAGAGTCTTTATTTACAGATGTCAGCCCTACTATGAATGTACCCAACGTTAGGAGTACAACTCTCTGGATTTATTGTTCTCTGGGCATAGTACATGTTTCTTCCCCTCTTCTGAATTAATTTCAAGGTAATGTGGAATTTGTGTAATAAATGAAAATTCATACTAGGAGATAAAGAGAGCTCTAAGTATTTAGATATAAGAACAGAAAGTAGCCATTTTGGAATAGGTCTTTCAAGTAAGTTATACATTTTTCATTAGAATTACCAGAGCTGGGCATGTAGCTCCTGGGTAAAATGCTCATGAACAGATCAGTTGTTTAGTATGTGCAAGATTCAAGGTTCAATCCCCAGTACCACAAAAAAGGAGGGGGGGAGAATTACCAGAGCATTATATGCAAAGGGAAATACCAAGCCTCCACATCCTCCTAACAAGTTAAGTAATTTTTAAATTTTTTCCTCAAATAACAATTCAAGCCAAAGGATACTTTTTGTTTTGAACAAATCATTAGCTTTTCTTTCCTGAAATGCAGGCTAATTTATGAGTAACTGTTTAAAACCCTTTAAAAAACATTCTAAATAAATAAAATTTAAAAAAAATTTTTGATCTGAGAGTCAGGCATGGTGGTATATGCTTGTAATCCCAGTACTCTCAGAGGCTAAGGCAAGAGATCGCAAGTTTGAGCCCAGCCTGGGCAATTTAGTGAGACCCTATCTCAAAATATGAAAGGTGCGGGGAATATAGTTCAGTGCAAAGGCCCTGAGTTCAATCCCCAATTCTAAAAAACAAATCAAACAGCCAAACTAAACCAAACCAAAAACAATAGCCACACACAACAAAAATCACGTCCCCAAATAAAAACTTAAAAAAAAAAAAAAAATTCTGAGTATCCTTATTCTCAAAAGAATGAGAAAATATATAGGCTTAGTTTCCATATGGTTAACAAAAAAAGGAGGTTTCTAAATACTTTAGTTTTTTTAACCTGAGCCTCCTAAGGATACCAAGCTTTTCCAGTTCCAGTAAAGCACTCATGCTAATTGACCCTTTTCCTTGCAGGGCTAACAGCAGGCATCTAGCAAAACTGGAGTTATGATCAAATGATGCTAGCTGGTTTGTTCAAGTTTTGAAATTGTGGCCCTGGCCCATCAGCGCTACACTTTACTCAACTGAAACAATTTGAGTTTCTGTTGCTGTGGAGTAAGAGGCAAAGAGTGAATTGACAAAGGGACTAAAGAATTAAGAATTAAGAATATGGTATGTAGTGAAAATATAATTTGCCTGTTAATGAACCACTCACAGATATGAAATAAGCCCACATCAAATTTTTACAATAGTGGGATAACTACAAATGTAAGCTTTCTGGTGTGATCCAAATTTATCAATAAGCTAGAAGGAATAAATCAAATATTTATAGGCAGTAACCCATGAAAAAGGAGAGATCAGACAAAATTAAGAGAAATTATTCATAATCATTTCTACTTTCATCTTTTTCTGGGGAAAACCCAGAAACAGGCCTCTAAGAAAACAATCTTCATATGTTAAGAAATGGCATCTGCTATTATACAGGTGTACGTTTCCCTCAAAGACAGACAGGTCATAGATATTTTCATATTTCATGGTTAAGACCTGAATTCCACTTAAGTATTGTAAAGGAAGTCTAAAACCACTTCTAGGAAAAAGGCACTTTGTTACTGAAGTTGGATTTAACTTCATAAAAGTTGAAAAGACCAGGATAGACTTCAAAGTCACTTTTGTATTTACCGTTCTTCTTTTCAGTAGTTGGGACTGAACTGAGGAGTGCTCTAATACTAAACTACCCCAGCAAATTTATTCATTTATTTATTTATGAGACGGGATCTCACCAAATTACCCAGCCTGCCTTTGAACTTGTGATCCTCCTGCCCCAGCCTCCCAAACGGTTTAGATCATACACATGTGCTACCACACCTGGCTTCATTTTTGTATTTATGAATACAGAGCAGATGCCAGTTTGTAAAATATAGCTGATAACACTATAAATCAACCATTCAGCAACATAATTATCTTCTTGGCACAACAGTACTTTATGACATTTCTCCAAAATCTAACATAGGTCAGTTCCAAGTTCAAAAATAAAAAGGAAAATAAAAATCACCAGCGGTTGCTAACTTTAGAGCTCAAGACTTTTTAAGAGAATTTCAATCTACAGTTTGGTTCTGTTTCAGACCAAGTTGCTTTTTGGATGGCAGAAGTGTTTGTTTTTTGTTGGGGAGAGCCCAGGGCAGAAAATTATTGGGGAATTAACAAGAGGTGCATTTCTCTGGTCAGACAACCAAGTGAGGAGGTAGTTATTCTGAGAAGTTCTCAAGCAGAGACTGTGCTCATACACTGAGAGGTGGACAAACAGCAGGAGCTTCTCTGAGATGAAGAGAGCAACAGGGATACTTCTCCTCCAGGGAAGTCAGGACCAGGGTATCAGTGCAGCTGAAATAAAGGTGGAATGTGTATGAGTGACACACAGAACATGAGACAAACTCTAAGAATTGAATTCTTATTTGAATGACAGTATATTTTCAAATGTGGCCTACCTTGAAAGTGGCTCTTTTCTGATAGAACTTTGTTAAATATCTATAAAAAACAAAACAAAACAAAAAACATGTCTTAGTACTCTCAGAAAAGGTGCCAAAAAGAAAACAATTTATAATTAAATACAAAGTCACACTTGTTAAATAGCAACAGAGAAGTAACATTAACACTCCTCCCAACTGCCTCACACTACATAATAATTATGTCAAGAGATTACACGCTTACCTTGTTACATCACCACACATGGCAACCCCATACAACCTTGAGTCCCATCATCATTGCTGTTGAGTTTTTTCATTCTGTACTGGCGTATTTCTCTTACGAGTGTGTAAAATGCATCTTCAACACCCTATGAAAGAAGAAAGAATCCTTTCCTCTGAAAGGCCAGCTCAACTGACACAATCCACATTGTAAGTTTTCATTTCTATTTCTTTATACGGATTTAAAGCTTCAATTACTAAAATAATAGCTGATAAAATAGGGTGACTGAGCCGGGTGTGCTGGCACATGCTTATAATCTCAGCACTTGGGAAGCTGAGGTAGGAGGATCATTGTGAATTTGAGGCCAGCCGGGACTACACAGTGAGTTCAAGGTCAGCCTGAACTATGTAGCAGGACCCTCTCAAAAGAGGGAGGGAAGGAAGGAAGGAAGGAAGGAAGGAAGGAAGGAAGGAAGGAAGGAAGGAAAGAAAGAAAAGAAAAAGGTGACTTAGAAAGAAGACACTAAAAGTTTAACATTTCTATTTAGTCAACAGGGTAATACATCAATGGCATACTGTGGAGGAAAAAAATTCAGTGAAAAGAAAAAGGCTAATGTGAGACACACAAAACAGAACCTCCATGTTTAAAGATTCCAGTCAGGAAGGATTATGCCTTAAAACAATGCTTAGTGTTGATAGTAAAAGTATTAATACTTATAGAAAATTATTATTATTGGTACCAAAGATCGAACTCAACCTCACACTTGGTAGGCAGGTGTTTATGCTGCTGAGCAAAATCCCTGGCCCAGAAAATTATTTTGAGAAAAGGTCTCAACTATGTTTCCCAGACTTGTCTCAAATTCATGGATTCAAGCAATCCTATCTCAGCCTCTCAAGTAGCTGAGACTACAAAAGCATACTACCATTCTATAGTGATACATGTATATTCATATTTATGGTAGCACAGTTCATAATAGCTAAGCTCTGGAAACAAACTAGATGCCCACCAATAAAGAAAACATGGTATGATTGTTCTTCAGCTATAAAGAATGAAATAATGTCATCTGGAGGAAAATGGATGGCTCTTGAAACCATAACATTACGTGAAATACGACAAGCAAAGATAAATATTGCATGATTTCTATGTTTGAGAACCCAAAATGTAAAATAAAGGGGAAAGATGGTAGGAAAGAGGAAGGCAGACTTTTGGAGGCTGGGAAACAGGATCAAAGGAAGGGAAAGTAGGTAATAAAAGGATAAAAAATGATCTAGATATGAAAAAATACAAATATAATAGATACGATTACATATACAATCCCCCAAAACAAGTATTATATAAATTTAGTAGTTAAAACTTCTCTGCCTTAATCACATACCAGTCCAATTATTTTAATATAGGATTGATCAAACAATGTGTATGTTAATACACAAGAAGATGCTAATACAACCAGAAATATAAAGACAACAATTTTATCAAATTTATTTGATACAAGAATCAATTAGTTGAAACGACACTTGTCTGAGCAGTGCTTGGGACACTCAGTATGGAAACAAACATGCTGCCCCAGGGACCCTTGGGATAAACTGTTAAGTGGTTAAACCCTTGCACAGACGCTTGAAGCCCTATCATACCTGTCTGGTCTTGGCTGAGGTTTCAATGAATGGAATCCCGTAACTCTTGGCCAGTTCATGGGCTTGTTTTGTGTCAACAGTCCTTGTTGGCAAATCACACTTGTTCCCTACCAGCACCATAGGTACATCATCTGAGTCTTTTACTCGTTTAATCTGCTCCCTAAAATAGGGAATATGTTATAAGAAAAATAAACTTTTGGAAAGGAATAGATTGGTAGGGCAAAAGAGAAGCTGGCAGGTTGTACTAAGCCCTGTTAGCTTCTATTTTGAGTTTCTCATTTTTTTGACCACTTAAAAGAATCTTGTATACAAACAGACTGGTTGAGAGGTGATGCAGTAGCCTTAGGAAGACTGTAACAGTTCACTTCCTAATGAAAATGAGTGGCTAACTTATCTTGACACATGTTTTTGTTAGACTCTCCAAAGCTTGCTTCTGGATTCAAAAACAACCAGAAATCACTGTAATGTCTGAAGTATAAAAAATAAAGTTTTCTGCCTTTAAACATTTTTGTTCTCTGGAGTGACAGCTTTTAATGGAAGATAACCTAATTCACTTTTCAAGATGAGTAGTACCAAGTATTTTTCACAAGTAAAATTACAGCTGGAAGTCTAAGATGTAAAACAGAAAACACTAGAACTACTCTTAATAAAGAGAATGGGTGGCTGAAAGATGCACAACAAAAGACAGTATTTTCTGCAATGACCTATGAGACATACCACACAGCCGTTTACAAGTTGTTGATTCTTTTGACCAACATTAAATAGAACTTTATGCAATAATGGAAATGTTTCATCTGCACTAACATGGTAGTCACTAGTCGTGTAACAATCAGCACTTTAAAAGTCATTTGTTAATATGGTCAATAATTTTTTTTTTGTCTTTTTCGTTTTTTATCAGTACCGGGGATCGAACTCACGACTGCCTGCTTGCAAGGCAGGCGCTTATGCCGCTGAGCTAAATCCCCAGCCCCAATATGGTCAATAATTTTTCAATCTGACTTAATTTTAATTTAAACGTAAACAACCATATCTGGTTGTGGCTAACTTACTGCACAGTAGTACTCTAAAATTTACATTTTGATTATAGTTATGTACCCACACTGCTTTTCACTGGCTATTTGCAGAACTGTACACTGGTATTGTGGTAGTGGTCAATTTTTTTGTCTTTTTGAGACAGTGTTTCACTATGCAGTTCAGGATGGCCTTGAACTCACTTTGTAGCCTACTGCCCTTAAACTTGCAGCAATTCTTCTGCTTCCTGGTAGCAGCCTACATTAAAGAAAATCAGTACCGGGGATTGAACTATGACTGCGCGCTCGCAAGGCAGGCGCTTATGCCGCTTAACTAAATCCCCAGCTCCAGGAATATTTTAAATAGCCTCAAGTACATGAACCATGTATGGTCAGATAACTATTGTTCTTTACCACTCTCTGAGGATCTGGGAAAATTTCCTTGTGGTGCCAGTGTAATGTTTTTTTCTGAGCAATTAATGTGCTAGCAGCATACAGATGTTTATTTATTTATTTATAGACAGGATCTTGCTATGTAGTCCAGGGTTGGCCTTGAACTATGTATGTAGCCATGCTGGGCAGCAATCCTCCTGCCTCAGCCTCCTCAGTACTCAGATTAGAGGCATGGTCACCTGGCTTTTCCCTTGCTTCTTGAGCTTATTTTTTATGAACTTTTCTCTTGCCATACTACGTGAAGAAATGCTTTGTAAAGAAAAATGACTTCTAGGAAGTCAACAAACGGTTCCAAGTGTTGGGAACTTACATTAAGGGCAGCTGTTGCTAAGTGTCCATGAAATAGGTCCCAGAGTATCACCCTCACCAAAAACAGTAAAATCTGAGGACATGCATACCTTATGTAAAATGGTGTATTATTTGTACATAACACGTACACTTAGGCTATGTGTAATATCTAATATAAAGTAAATGCTATGTAAATAGTTTTTATAGTATACTGTTTAGAGAATGAGAAAATCCTATCTATATTTGATCGATTTTTTCCCATAAGTTGTCTAAATCTGAAGATGTAACACTTTCAGAAAGGAAGGGCTGTATTTCTAGACAGAAAAAAATGCAAGTGAAGACAGTATGGCCTGGGTTTGAGGCCAAACTAGACAACATAACTGAGTTCAAGGCCAGCTGCACTACCCAGTGAGACCCGGCCTCAAACAAACCAAATAAATAAATAAATAAATAAATAAAATAGCTAGGCATTGTGGTGTACACCTATAACCTAGCATTCAGCAGGCTGAGGCAGGAGAATCATATAAGTTGAGGCGAGCCTGGGTTACATAACTGAGTTTAAGGGCAGCCTGTACTAACTACATAGTGAAATCCTAACAAATATGTTTTGAACTAATTTGCAGAGCAGGTATGTTCATCTTCACTGAAAATACACAAGGATTCAAAGTTGCACACATAATTTATGGAACAGGCACCGTTCTAAATGATTTACATAGTGACTGACTTATCTGTACAAGTGGGGGTTTTTTTTGGTACCAGGTTTCAAACTCATGACCTTGTGCTTGCTTTTTTTTTTCCTGTACAAGTCTTAAGAGGTAGGAACTATTATCTCCTTAGTATAAACAAGGAAACTCAGACACAGTTTACACACAGTAATTTGCCCAAAGTCACATAGCTAATAAATGATGGAACGAAGTTTTAATCTGGGTGGAGACATATTTTTAACCACTGTATTTTTTGCTTATAGAACAGTGCTTGGAAAAAAAAAGCACCCTGGATTTTTGGTTCTGCTGTTACTAATATCAGTCCTAACTTAGAAATCCAACAAATCACCTTCTAAACTCTATTTTTTGATTATGTAAAATAAAGAATGCTATAGCAGAATTTTGTTTTTGGGAAGGGTCTGTATAATTCTTAATGGGCCTGGACTTACTATGTAACCCAGGCTGACCCTGAACTCGTGGCAATCCTGGCTCAGCTGCCCAGGTGATGCTGCTGCAGCCAGGGCTTTCACACTGAACTACATTTCTTTTTAAAACTTTGAAGTCACTAAGTCACTAAATTGTTCTTGCTGAGCTCAACCTAATTTTCTTGCCTTAGCTTTCCATAATCCAAGTATTACAGGCATAGGCTACCATGTCTGGATTGCACTAGAACTTTTTATGAACCAATCTAGCTTTTAAATTTTATAGTTCTATAGAGAAAGTCCATTTTTATATGCCTTTGCCTCACTTTCATCTTTATTTACTATTTGTTTCTATGATCTTATCCTACTACTTATCAAAGAATAATCTCAGGCATATTTTCCTCCAAAAAATTCCTTTGTGATCTCTCATTACAATACCTCTAGTTCTGAACTGTCCCTAGTACCAACATTTATTTGTTATTAAACATTACAGTATGAAATAAAAATATGTATTTCAGTATTTGCTTTCAGTAATAACCTAATTCCTTATCTCAAACAACTTGAAACTAACTTTCCCATAATAAAAAAGCTTCATCTTCCCTAAGTATGGTATCCTTATTTCTCTATAAAGTTTCAGAACACTCTTAAGACCATCCTTTCAGAAAAAACAATGTTCCTAGTACCTGTAGAGGTTAATATCTGCAAATGATTTGCTATTATTGATGGCAAACACACAGAGGAAGCCTTCGCCTGTCCTCATGTATTGGTCTCTCATGGCACTGTACTCCTCTTGTCCAGCTGTATCCAGAATATCCAACAGACAAGTTTCACCATCTATAACCACCTGTTTTCGGTAAGAATCCTGGGGGTAGGATGGGAGGAGATTAAATTTTTATTAAAAATCACAGGAAATGGAATATTTTTACCAAGGAAAAAAAGCTTCTAATTATTTCGGTTCCTTCCTGTGCATCTGAGTTGTCCCTCAAACTGTTTACAATTTCAAACAGAAAGTACTTAATGTCACTCTAGAATAAAGCCCCAAATTCAATTCACCTGCAGGAAAAAATGTAAAAAAATAGCACTACTGCAGTTAGGAAACTATATACAAATTTAGGTCCATAGCATATTATACTAAGCCATGAACCAGACTGCTTTCAGCTGTTTATTTTACTTTTACAATTCTAAACATACCTCAACCAATTAGAACCTATTCCTGGATAAAGAATCATTTGTGAGTTTTTTACCCCAGATGTTTGTTTTGAGACAAGGTCTCACTATGCAGTTCAGGTTGGCCTTGAACCATGTACCCCAAGCTGGACTCAAAACTTGCAAAGATCTCCCTGCCTTAGCCTCCTGATTGCTGAGATTACAGCGTGCTCCATCATGCCCAGCTCAATGTTTACGACTACATATGCAAGTATCTTTTGTTTCAGAAAGAGAATACCACCAGAAATATTTTTCTTATCATAACAGATTATATCTTTGGGAGATATTTCTGATCAAATTTTTAAAGTTTCCTAACAAAGTACAATTAATTTTTCAGGACAAAAGGCATAATCATATACAAATACTTCTAATTTGGCTTTATAAAGGTAATTTTACTTGTATTTTAGTAATGTTTGGAAGATCTCATTTGTGGTATTGGAAATATACTATCCTGTCATCTGGTTGGAGGTTACGAGTATACACAAATGTAACCAGAGCTGTACACGAAAAGATTTATGTATTTCAATATGTAACTTACCTCAATACAGATAATTCTGAAAAATATTATGATCCATTTTAATGGCAGCTGTATTAGAAGTCAGTTACATTTAAGTACTCAGTAGCTACATGATAGGGAAGCCAGGAGTAAATTAAATAAACTACAAGTTTGGGTTTTTTAAAAAAAATTTGAGACAGGGTCTTGCTATGTTTGTTGCCCAGGCTTGCCTTCAACTTGAGGTGACCCTCCTGCCTCAGCCTCCTGAGTACTGAGATAACAGGTGTGCACCACCAAACCCAGGTAGAAATAAACATTTCTAAACTGAACCAAACTAAGAAACTTAAAGAGCCTTAGACATCACTCCTTAAAGACAATTTGTAACATCATCTCATAACAAAAGAATCTTCAAAAATGCACTATTATGCAATACTTTTACTGAAATTATCTCCTATTAAATCAATTTCTTTAGGTATTTATCTCTAATAGTTGTCATATATGAAAAAAGAATGAATTACATACTGCGTTTGCAAGTTTGCATAGTTGTTAAAAAACTACTTCTAAACAAAATCTTTAGCAGCTAATAAAAACAACTCCACACAAAAAGTTTGATTGTTATTACTGTATAAGGAATACAAAGTAACTTTTTACTTTCAAATTTTTTTCCTTTGCTTCTAAAAAGTGAGTAAAAGTCAAAGGTGAGGGAAAACAAAGTGAGAGGTAGATCAGCCTGCAGACTAGCAGTGGATCTCACCTCTATGGTGGGATCATATTCATCGACAAAGTGGTTCTGAATTAGCTGGATGGTCAGTGCACTTTTCCCGACACCACCTGCTCCAACCACCACCAGTTTATACTCAGTCATTTCACACCAGCAAGAACCTGTGGGAAAGCAGTAATTAGGATTAACTGGCAAGCTAGATTCTAGATTTCTATAATCAATAGTAACTAAAACCAGTTGGAAATACATTGGTTTCATACACGTGACCCTCCAGAGTTCTCAGAAGTGATTCAGGAAGCAAAAATACTTGCAGGTTAACGTGGCAACACATTTCTGAGTTAAAAGCTTTCTAGCTAACCCCACCCCGCGTCTATTTTCAATCACGTCTGGTCCCCGCCCTCAGCTGAAGGTAAAGGAACCCCCGATCCCTTCCAACTCATACATCGCCTTTTCAGCTCGGGGGCCGGGGGAGAGTGCCTCCAGACCGCGACTCCCTTCCATTCACCATTGGTCTCCAAAGATTTAGCCGCAATCGGCCCCAAATGAAGGACCCCCGCCCAAGGCCTTTGTCTCCATTTCATATATTCCGCGCGATCCCAGGCATCAGCGGGACGCCGGTACGCAGCAAAGCCCAACGCTACACTCCTAAGACCCTTACCTCAAGCTCTGCCGCCCCAGCTTCAAAAGGATATAGAATCTCAACCCTGAGAAACGTTGAGGACCCCGGAACCGCCATGAACAGCCCCCACCAGGGAGCGGCACTTCCTGCCCCGCCCGCTACGTAATCAGCCGGCGCCCGGGCCCGAGTCCCCGCCCCGGCCACGTGGGCCAATGACCTAGTCACGAGGGCGGCCGCACCCAGACCGGCGTCTCCCTCCCAGGTCGTTTCAATAATGAAAGCGCTAGGTGCTAGTGTCTCAAAAATCAGTAAAACTTTATTCGCTTCCATTCTTTCGCCAGTAACATAAAATTGGAGAAAGCAAAAATGTTTCGTGTTTACAAAGATAAATGGCCTCTTTTATCCAGAGTTCAAAACCTCAAACAACGGGGAAGATAAACGCGCCCTCCCCCACATCCCCTGAGCTGACCCTCGTCATCTCAAAACAGCCTTCTGTCCATTGGCTATGGACCCTGTATATAGCCAATTCAAGATAAAGGCCAAGGAATCAGACCAATCCATTCCCGTGATATAAAGTTGAACAGAAGCTACACCAAGGGTCAGGTGCCTGTATTTAACAGGACACAGGAACCAGGCGGTTACTTACAAAAAAAACAAGATTCATTTCAGGCACAACTTTTTTTATTTTTTTTGTTTTGTTTTTTAATCAGTAAAAGAAATTGGGTCCTAGAAGCTGCAGTGATCTAAGCAGCAACAAATTTGTGCATTCGTCTTTTTTTCTTTTAAATACGATTAAATTATTACACTCCTGGCACACTTCATTTGCCTGAAATTCTGCACCCTACATACTAATTGTAAAGTTATTAACCCCCATCCCCGGGGGTGGGGGGACCTACTCTGGGGAGATAATTACCACTGAAATCTACCCAAACTTTGTTAAGTATATTGTGACAAGATTATAAATGATATGAAAAATAACATTTTAACATTTGGCCATCAACTTAAAATGGTTTGCCTATACAAATTTTTGTAATTTTAAAAATGTAATATATTCTACCCTCCTATGGTCCTCAGAATTAAAGCATAATGAACAGGAAAGAAAAGGAGAAGAATGCAACTGACTTCAAAGGCAGAACATCTTGCCAGGAGTAATGAAGGTAGAGTATATACTAAATCATCAAGTGCAGAATTTCATAGGGCCAACAAGGTAACAGTCTATGTTTCATTTATACAGGCGAAGTGGATTTTGCAATTACCAGTTGCGTTAAATGCACCAAATAAAGCTCCTAAAGTGATACTATAAGGCGCCACCTTAAGTTCTCCAGGCTGCAACTGTGCATAATTTTAAAATGGTTTCTTAAATTTATTTATTTTTTTAAACATAACACGAGGAAGGTGTTAAAACTGGTGTAATAGCTCAATAGAATAAGTTTTCCAGATTTTGGGAGGGATGAAGAGGGAGATATTCAGAACCCTTCACCAGAATCCCCCCAGCTTGATCATAGTGGATTAAGGATGTGCTTTGTGGACGTGGTTAGTCAATGACACCAGCCTGACGTATCTTTCTTTCTGCACCAAATCCCTGCAAGAAATAAAATTTTTGCAGTTAATGAACTGGATGCATAAGAATGAACAGTGCATTCCAAATGTACTACCAAATTACCAAGTTTTAAATCACGTTAAATCACTACCAGATCTTTCCAGAGGTGAAACCTACTTTATACCCTCAGTTACATACAAAGTATCTGGAGCAGAAATGTGCTTCTTACTGAAAGCAAACAATATGTCAGGGGTTGAACCAATGTGTAGGGAACCTCAACTAGTTATATGCAATGCTGAAGTTCCTTGCTTCATTATGTTCTCTAATCTGTGTTGGCAAAGGACTTTCAGCTGGCTGCCAACAAGGCCTATTAAAAAAAAAAAAAAAATCATACCATTGAGTTATCTGGTCCCCTTGGCTGACGAAGAACCATTAGGCGAGGAGCACTGGCATCATCCAGGGTGATATTCTTCAAGCGATTGACCAGTCGATCAGGTCGGGGGGCTGCAACAGCCTTGGGGCCCTCGCTGCAATAAGTCAACAGGTGAAAAGAAGCAACACTTGGTGGGAAGAAAACAAGCACTTGCAGAGGAATGTGTCCTAACTGCCCAAATGACTCACTTTTAATAAACGGAAATCTTGTCTCATCCAGACAACTAGCTAGCAAGACAAGACAGACAAGTTTGCGTGTGTTTTAAATGTTTTCCCAACTCAAGGTTCCAACTATATAGGAGCAGGAAGAATTATCTGGTGAGTGTCGACCCGAGACTTGTCTGCAATTGGAGACCAATTCCACAAATACATAAAACAGCACACTAGAAAAGCTTACAAAGTGAAACATGAAGAAATATTTACATATTCTTAGTTCCTCTCATATTAACATCGTAATTTTTTAAAGGCATAGGAATCAGGGTAACTTAAAAGTATACAAAATTGGGATGTGTGTGTGTGTGTGTGTATGTGACAGAGCTCAAGCTGGTCTTAAGTTTGCTATATGTAGGCCAAGTCAAAACTTGCAATCCTCCTGCCACAACATTCTGAGTTCTGTGATTACAGCCTATACTACCCAACCCAGATAAACATTCTAATTTTAGCAGCATATATACTAGAAATGGCTTGATAGAAGGAAAGAAGCTAATAAGCAGAATTCTTTAAGATAAAATACTACAGAGTATTTTTATGTTTAAGATCTAGCTTAGTACAGGGCCTAAATGCTTCACTGGGCCAAATTTATTTAGACCATAGGTCAGGTAATAAGGCCAAAAGCAGAAAGTATCAAGAAATAACCTAAAAATGGCAAAAAGGGAGGTTGGGGGAAATCAGGCACGGAAGAATAAAGAAATAGGATAAAGGTAAGACTAGTGAAGTTAAGAGAGTGCCTACTGGGATTATTAATCCAATCACAACAAACTCACCAGACTCGCCAAACATTACAGGCACTGCACTTGCCAGTGCGCTGGTTAAGAATCACTGAGAACTCCACCTCGTCTCCTGCCTGTAGCTCAATGCCATCCTGAACTTCTTTCACATGGAAAAAGAGCTTCTTGCTATCTCCTACTTCATAGTTAATGAAGCCAAACTAAAAAACAAAACAAAAACAATAGCTGAAAAAAGAATACTCTCTCAAAGAAAAACAAATAAACAAAAAAAGAACCCCTCATTTTGAAGCTTAATGCCTAATCAGAAAGATTTATAAAACATGAAATCAGTATCAATACTCTTATTTAACTGCTCATGTGGTAAAATGTGCCAGGGAAGAAATATCTCTGAAATCACTATCACGCATTTTATTACATGCATAGCTAAAACAAAGAGAAGGTAGTATAAATTTAGGAAAAGGAGAAATGAAGGAAATGAAAAGAATTAAAAATGTGTTACGTACATACACCAACTTTGCATAAAGAATACAATTATTACACATTTCAAATATGTAATAACAATAAAAAAAAAATAAATTTGGGGGAGGTGGGTAAGGTACAGTAATGGGATCCAAACCAAGCTACATTCTCCCCATCCCTTTGAGACAGGCTCTTATCAATTAAGTTGTCAGGCTCAAATTTGAGATATACTCCTGAGTCAGTCTCCCACAGTACTTGACTATAGATGTGAACCACCATACATGTGTTTTCGGAATTTAAAAAAACCTTCAGGCAGCCATTAATTGAACACAGTAATCATTTTGATCTCCTCTAGAATTAAGCTGGGTATAGTATTAAGAGAGAGAGCCACACAATGATGTAGTAATACCTAGATTGTCAAACAGCTCCAAACTTGAACTTTACACTAGTTAAACAGCAAAGTTCAGAAACAATCTGTTCATTGTTCAGAACTTTACTTGACAGTGGAACCAAAAAAAACACAAAAACAACCCACTTGAAAACATGTGTCTCTTTTCACCATATACACAAAGTGGAGATTAAGTGCCTGCCACTCTCGTCCAGATAACATACAATGTGTGACTTGACATTGTGCTTTCCACAATTTTTTTTGCAGTTATTTGCATAGAATATTGTAATCATGGTTTGAAAGACAGTAGTGATACCAGCAGTAAAGAGGAAATTTGTGAGGAACACAAATGAATGAAATCATTGCAAAATTTGTAGAAATCCTGGAAAAATAAATTTGTAAGTATAATTTTGAGGCCTCAGAGCCAATAATTTGGCTTCCCATTATTTCTTTTCTTGAGACAAGGTTTCACTATGTAGTTGAGGCTGTCCTCAAAATTGCAGTGATCCTCCAGCCTCAGCTTCCCAAGTGCTGGAATTACAGGTGTGTGCCACCACACTCAGCCTCTTAACTATGTTCAGTTCTGAAACTTGTTAAGTGTTCAAACACAAATTTGGAACAACTGGGTTTCACAACGCAAGTATCACTATATTCATTGCATGGATGGTGAAAAACATTTTCTCTGTGAACTCAGGAATTTCCTTGAGATTTCAGTACTAAGATTAGTTCTGTGCTCTCAGCTTATTTTACTAACACTTTGAAATAAGGCTTTTAAAGTGTGGGCTGCCAAGGAAGGTCCATGGTTCTTTTATTCTGGTTTAACTCCAAACTTCCTTTCGCTAAGATGTAATGTTTATTCCTAATGATTAATTTTTATATCTCTTTGCTAAGACAGTTGTTTTCTCATCATTTTCTTCCTATTTTTATAAACCATCCCAAACCACTCCATGGTGTCACACACCTATAATCCCAGCACCCAGGAGGCTGAAGCAGGACTACCATGATGAGTTCAAGGCCAGCGGGGCTACACAAGAGTTCAAAGCCAGCCTGAACTACATAGTGAGATGCCTGTCTCAAAAAACAACAAAACAAATAGAAGCAAAACAAGCAAACCACTTTATGGAATGAAGTAAAAACCCTAATGAATGCTGCTGATGCTCCCAAGGCTAAAAAACAGGCAAGGCTTTGGTTAGCAATTCTCAAAAAGATCAACTTCAGATGTAGAAGTGCTGTACTTACCTGATCTTTCACACACTCCACTGTGGCCCTACGCAGGGGTGTGATATTGTAGGCCATAGTCTGTGCATTTTGGCCCAGGACACACAACTGGAACTTAACACTCTCCCCTTTCTGTAGGCAATCCCCTTTGTTGGCCATCCCAACTATGCCAAATGGATACACCTCACCTTTCATATCCCCTGTAACGAAAACAAGTACAAAGTCTAAAAACTGGTATTTCACAACAATTCTCTACTGATGGACCTAGTATTTGTAAAAAGTTGCAAAAAAAGTGTTGTTCCCTTAAATATCCCTCCTTTACCTTCTATCTTTATCTCCCAAATTTTACTTTAAAGCCAAAAAGAATCCCTGGGGTGGAGTGGGGTGGGGTACAGTTTTGAAACTGAGGACATTTCAAATATGTTACATCCCAGGCCTACCTTTTTTTTCTTGATTTTGAAACAGGGTCATTGTACAACACACGTGCTGAGCTTTAATTTGTCAGGTCCGCTCAAACCATTTTCCAAATCAGAGTTCACAACTTTTTTAATACGTTCACAACAGAGCTGTAATACCTATGTCTCATTGTGAAGTGGTATAACTGTTTCAACTGGGCAGCTTTTTATTTTATTACTAAAAGTTAAACAAAAGTTATTAGATCCATTTGTATCAACAGTGCTGCCCAATGGGACAGTCATATATTTATGAGTAGTGGTTCAAACAAGCTGGAAAACCTTAAAAGGCCAAATGATAAATAAGCTAGCAAGCCCTCCTGTCTGTCAGAATACTTGACTCTGCTGTTTAGGGAAAAAGCAACCAAAGGCACTATGTAAACAATTATATTCCTGCTTTTGCAAAACTGCCTACAAAAGCAAGCCCTTCCCAGTGTAAAGTTGCCTAGAGGCCAATGCAGGATATATACAGTATGTTAAACAGAATTCAGCTGCTTATCAATTTAACCTTCAGATAAACCCAAAAAATTAACAAAGACAAACAGGCAAGAAATGGAAACTTCAAAACTCAAAATGCCTTAATCACTCTCTTGGTAAATACAGGGGAAACAAATTTGTAGGGAACAAGAGGTGTGAGATTATTCAAATAGATCAAGTCATATAACAGAATGATAAAGGTTGTAACCACCACTTATTAAGGACTCATTCAACTCACATTTAATTTTCCTTCTTTCTTTCGTTCTTTCTGTCTTTTTGTTTTTTGAGACAGGTTCTCTCTATCCAGTTCAGGTTGGCCTTGAGCTCACTTTGTAGCCTAAGCAGGTCTCAAACTCAACAATCCTCCTGCCTCAGCCTGCCGAGTGCTGGGATTACAGGCATGAGCTACCACACCCAGCTAACATTTAATTTTCATAAAATATTCTAACACAGTAAAGCTGAAGAAACTTAACTAGGCAAGATTTAACAACTCAAGATTATACAGCTAAGAAATGTTCAGACACAGTTATGTGCAACTCCAAGACTTTATACTGAATTATCTGAGTTCTAAATAAGAGTTCTTACAACAAAGTAAAAAAATGTGATCTTTCTAGTCCTACAAAAACTCTAGGCTGATAGTTCCAAAATGTTTTTTTCCACAAAAATCTTTTGACTATATCCTATAGCCAGTATTAAGAAATAAATGGATTCAGGATAGGAGGTGCAAAAGGAATAAAAAGCAATGTTATATATCTAGATGTCAGGAGAAAGGGTTAAAGGGAGAGGAGGGGAGGTGGGGGAAAAAAAAACCCAAGTTACATCACATAAAAATACAAATTTTCTATGATGTGAATATTACATGTAACTAAAATGTATCAATAAAATCTGATTGAAAAAAATATCTAGATGTCCGCCTAAAGCTTCATGTGATCACTGACAATCTTTGGAAGGTTAAGTGGATTTTGGAGATTCTATAGCTGGCTTGATGCTGTAAGTGAGGTCTGGATGGAAGAAGTGGATTGCTGGAGATGTGGCATGCATGAAAGGACTTACTGCTTCTTCAGCTCTTCTACTGATACTCTCTGCTTCTTGGATGCTATGCCTTGAGCAACTCTCCTTTACCAAGCCCCCAGTGCTATGCTGTCCTCCCTTGAAGCCAGCTGACTATGGACTGAAATGTGAGCCAAAATAACTCTCTTCCTCTAAAAGTCACAAGTGGGTATAAGGTATTGTCTCAGCAAGTAAGACAAGCAGCATATCTGATGAAAGGGCAATTTGATACCATTTTGTGACTTAGAAGTTCATACTGCATGGCCTGTTTACAGATGCTGTGTCATGATGGCATTGAGACTTGCTATAAAGTCAATTCTTACTGGAATCTTGGAAAGGCAGTGGTTTTATCTGAAATAAAAATCCCTAAGAATCTTATGCAACGAAGAAACAGCTTATCAAAAGTTTCATTCTTTCTCCGAAATGACCTCTTCTCCCTCACTTAACATCCTTCCTGACTTATAGATGACACAAAACTTTATTCTCTTTGGAAGCCTAGCATTATTTCCGATTGACAGGTTACCATATTCATAAGTGGGCTATAATATGTATATGTCACTGCTAGACAGCCCTCATTTGAATGTATTACCACCAGTGGTACATGTATGACGATCTCATTAGGTGGTACAAGTTGGTAGGCACATACTTCTGATCTGCTCCATTATTATGTGATATGGTAATCTCAAATCATCCAGAGTTCCCTATTTCTACTTCACTTACTTAGTACACAGATTATATAAAGTCTTTTTCATTATGACTATTGGAGGAAAGGGCGTAAGACATTCCTGAAGATGGGCAGAAAAAGTATTAAGTTGAAAACAGAGAGATCCCTGTAGATGAAAAGTTGGATCTCCACAGAATCTTACATTACAAAACAAGTCAAACTTTTGCACAAACTAAAAATATTTATAAAACTCAATGGTTAATATAACCAGTGAATAAGAATGAAAGTGTTTATTACCATTCTGATATTAAATGTATATTTTTAGTGTGAGATTGTGTTCTGAGACTGTGTCAGTGAAACATAGTTGCTTATGTTTCAATCATATGCTCGCAGAGCACTGGTTTATCACAATTTAAATCCAGACTGACCTCATTTCTAAATATAAAAATAAAAACCAGGCATAGAGGAGAGAGAAAGACTCCTCTTAACTCAGTTTCTGTCTGTGTTTTCTTTTGTGGGGGGAGGGGGAGGGTGTTACTAAGATTGAACACAAAGCCTCACACATGCCAGGAAAGCACTGTGACATCCAAAGTCCTCCTTAATCTAACTTTTAAAAAACCCGCACACTGTAATGAACTCCAGAGTTTAAAACCTTCAAAATGCTCATCAACAGGCACACAAAATTACAAGCCATCAGGGAAGTGCTTACCCTCTTCCACAATCTCAATCATTCCTTGATACTCAGTCTGTGTTGGATCAACACTTCTCAGAGGGCGAATAACTTTACCAGAGTAGATGGTGGGATCAGCTTCCTCAGTAATACCATTCACTATAAAACAAAGGCATGTATACATCACATTCAACCACCTTATAAGAGTATCTGTAAATGTTAACAAAGTAAGCTGGTTGTACAATTCTTTTATTATTGTTACCTTTTTTTTTTTTTTTTTTGGCACCAGGAACTCAACTCAGAACCTTGCACTTATGTCACTAAGCTACATCCCCAGCCCTATCTAGTATTCTTAAAATGAGACAGGGAACCTGAAACCAAGTTTTACTTCCAGAACAGTTGGGTGACTTAAAAAAACTTCCATCAAACTAAAATGCTAATTTTACAAAATACAGTATATGCAACCTGTTTAGGGGATTAACAAGTACTCGTTTTAAAAACACTTCTTGTACATTCTCCCTTTTTCCAGGTGACCAAAAAATGTCATCTTTGTAGAAGGCCTTTTCTGGTCTCTAAAATGAAAATGTCAATACTTACACTCATTATAGGTTGTTCTGATTTATCTTGTTTACCACGTATTATCTTTTCTAATCAACCAACACTCAATATTTTACTCCTCTTTATCCATTTTTTCCCATCAAATAATAAACTTGATGAAAACAGGGATATATCTGACTTTACTGTATTCCCAGTGTATAAAAATCACATGCCTAGATACTCATGGAAATGAAAAGAATGAGTTCAGTTATCATTGCTCTGAGTCTCAAGACAAAATGTCTTGGGGAATTTTAGATGAAAGCCAAATCTTAGTTGTCTTTCAATGATCAGAGATCATAATCAATTAGTGATTTTCATAATTTTCCATTTACATTCATTGTCCAAAAACAGCTTTCTATTGGAATGCTTCACCTTAACCCTATGGCAACTTATATACACATGGGTTATTTTTTTAAAGAGACATTTACCACTTATTACCTAAAATATCTAGCCTCTAAAACTTCAGTGAACATCACTGTCATTTGAAGAACTTTTAAAATTCAGTAGTTCGGGGATAGGATCAGAGAACCTACATTTCTAATGACAAGCAGCCAGGTTATATAATACTTAACTGGGTGTGAGTATCATACTTCATTCAGGAGGATACCAAGGAACAGCAGATGTAGTGCTGGGTCTTGTCTTCCTCCCCCTAACATACCCTGTATCTTCCACTAAGCATAAGCTGAATTTCTTACCTGAGTGAGTTTTGTTTACTTTTTCAGCACTGACTTTGTTGCCTTTGCCTTTGGACAAACTGTATTCAACCATGTCCCCCAGTTCCAGGCTATCAACATCACCAGAGAATTCACTAAGGGAAGAGAAAATGACATTTAAATAAGACATTATCACAAACATCAACAGTGGCAAGCAGCCTTTTTTTTTTTTTTACAATATTCATGGAATGGTTACTTATGATGGATATTGTTTTGAGTACTTTATATACTGATTCATTTAAATTACTTTTAAAACTCAAGAGGTCTGTGGTGGAGCCAGAGAATTTCCATTCCCAGCCACCATCCTCTATAAAAGAGTATAGCAGTCCCTGCCATTTGAGTTGCACACTTTCACAGGTATAACTGTTGGATTACAAGCAAATCTTACTTAACATGCTCTCTCGGAACAGAACTCATTTGTAAGTTGGAGATTTACTATGCCACTATTCTCAGCTTCAAGATAATGGAACTAAAATACTAAGAAGTGAATTCTTTGACAAAAATTATGATACCAACATCATGAATGATAGCACCCATATTCAAAACTGAAACAATATGGTTCTGGTTCTGAGAGCTTACATCTTAACCACTATGCTATATATCAAATGTAAAACTATCTTAAAAAAAAAAAAAACCCAATGTATAACTATCTGGTATCAACATATAAGACAACGTATTTCTTCAATGAAGCAGAAAGGCTCTTTTCCAATATTCAAAAACAGCACAGGCCTTTTTCTATCTTTTGGTCACATATTTCCTATACAGAGGTAGATGATTAACTTTAGAATGTATCTTTACGTAATTTTACCAATATGAAATCTGGAATTTAAAAAAATAATGAACCAAAAATGCATAAACAACTTTTTTTTAGTGTGCTACAGGAGTCAAACGTGGGCCCCTGCTCATGCTTTACCAATGAGCTGCACCCCACTTTCCATTGAAACATTTCTGGCTCTAATGTTACAACAATGAAAAGCTTTAAGTTCCCAAAAGACATTCCTCACCTGTAATGGAAAAAGATCTCTTTATCATGATTGGCTGTTTCAATAAATCCAAAATTAACTTTCAGAGTTGCCACATAACCCAAGAGTCTCTTGGAGTTGGAATTACGACCCAAAAGTCGTACACAAGTTGCAATCTGCTGCCCAGGCCTCTGTTTGTCACTAATACTAAATTCAACCTGTGAAAAATAGGATCATCAATACTTTATTACTTCTATGGGTTCTTTAATCTGAAAATGAGAGCTGAAACTCCTCCATACCATGCTTTGCATTTCTAGAAATCCTTAGTAATTATTTTCATAGAACAAATTTCCACCAAAACTAACATTCCTACGCTTAGTCCCATTTTAAGGAATTCTTTCTTAAAATAGGATTTTCCGAAAAAGATTGACAGTAAAATATTTATGTAAATATTATCGTTTACTTAAGCACTATGAACTGTGCTAGACTGTACACCAAATTAGAATCTCATACATTGGTAAATATGTTCATAGTGTTTCCAAAACCCTATGGAGTCCTATATAGTATAATATTTAATAACTCATTAAAACTTCTTTACCAATATTATCAGTCTTATCTAAGCTAGTGGATTTAAGTATGTCCTATCTAATGCTTAAATCTGATTCCTCAAGAAGTTCTAACAAAAAGCTTGTTAGACCCTGTTCTAAATTTTGGAGCTGCTTTTAAGTAGAAAGTTGATCATGTATTCAACCTACCAAATGCAAAACAACAAAATCTTAATTAAAACAATAAAATTTAAAGAAATCATCCTATAACTTTTTGATTAAGATGACTATCTTTAACCTCCAATTAAAGCAAATTTATCTTACCTTATCTCCTATCTGAGGAGAAGTAGATCCTTCCACATCCTTAGCTTGAAAAGCAATTGTTAGTTTCACTCCACAATCATCATAAACAATAATGCCATCCTCAGCCTCCTAAAAAAAAGAAATGGAATACAATAAAAACAAGCTTAGGAGTGAAACAATACAAGCAACTATTCTTTTAAAGTAAAAAACTAGCAGAGCTATAGAAATTTCTTATTTCTAACCAAGTGGAAATTCTGTACAGAAGCCGCCAAAGTTTCCTGTATTATTCTACATAGGACTCCATAGTGTTTTGGAAACATTATGAACATATTTACCAATGTATGAGATTCTAATTTGGTATACAATCTAGCACAGTTCGTAATGCTTAAGTAAATGATAATGTGTCGATATATCAACAGTTCTACAATGACATTTACTTTACTGAAATTTTTTCTTCGAGACAGGTTTTCACTATGTAGTTTAGGCTGGCCTTGAATGCATTCAAAATGATCCTCTTACTTCAGCCTCTCCAGTGTTGGGATTACAGGCGTGCAACTGTCACACCCAGCCACTTTACTGAATACTTATAATACACATTTTGTATTATCAAATTTGTTACAGGAAGACCACCTTCACAGTTAACTTTTCCCCTCACTTCGCCAATTGCCAATGTCTTAGGAAATAAAATAAACTTGGCCAAGTTATAACAGCTAGTCCAACAGTGGTTTTTTTCTTTTAATTGTTTTTTCTAAAGACAGTGTTTTTCATACTGTCCAAGTTGGTCTGGCACTATGAACTCATGGTGGTTCTCCAGCCTCAGTCTTCTGAGTCCTGGGATTAGAGGTGTGCCCCACCCACCACACCTGGCTGACAGCACTTTTCAACAGAAATCTTTTCCTTGGAGCAATGTCTAAATTCTTTAGTGTAACAATCACATTCTCAATCTGGCCACATCTTGATTTTTCATTCTCATTTCCCCTGTCCTTAATCACCCAAAACAAAAAACAGACCACCATCTTGCTTTCAACTTACTGCTTTCTAAAGAAATCTAGACCTTTTCTCATTTGTACGTCTTTTCTGTGAGAAATGACTTATCTCCACAAAGTATTGAGTATCAATACTTAGTGGAACTATCCCAGATCCTGCTTATTAAAACTTTTCTAAGAGCACTTTTATTGACTAAGGGTGCGTAGGTGGTGTTTCCCTGGGAATGAATGCATGGAATGCTAAATTTTACCCCGCCCTTTTCTGAACAGGTCTAAATTGCCCTCAAGCCTCAAACTTGTTATCTTCCTGCCTCAACATCCTAAGCACTGGGATTATAGGCACCTGCTGCTGTGCCCAAGTACCAAATGATACTGTTTTTTTGACCTGCTGCGGAGTGAACCTGGGACCTTATGCATGTTAGGCAAGCAATTTATCACTAAAATACATTAGCCCTCCTACTCCTTTGTGAGATGCCCATGGTAGCTTTGAATCTGTAATCATTCTGCTTCAGTCATACAAGTAGCTGAGGTTATAAATATGTGTAACCACATCCAGTATATCTCACTAATTTTTAGAGGCAAGGTCTTTCATGTATAGACCAGGCTGACCTTGAACCGACTAAATTATCTGGTTGGCTTCAAAATATGAACCAGAATTACAGGCATGTGTGGCACTACACTGGGCCCCTTATTGACTTTTTCCTTTAGATTTTTTGAGACAGAGTCTCACTATATAGACCAGGTTAGCCTCAAACTTGTAGCAATTTTCCTGCCTCAACCTGAGTACTGAGATTACAAGCATATACCCAGACCTCTGGCATCTTCCTGACTTCTAAGAGCAGTATTTTCTACACAAATTAATTCTTCATCTTTTGTTATGGAGAAAAACTATCTTAAGCATTTTTGTATTTCCTCGTCACTATTTTTCCAATAAATGAGAGTCCAAATATAAGAACAGAATCTACTCAATCCTAAAAGTTTTAACTTGTTTAGAATACATTACTAGTGTTTTTGATGAATGGTTCTCAAATGGAGGCATCTAACAATATCTGGAGAAATGTCTGTCTAGCTATCACACTGGGAAGGGATAGGAGATATTGGTCTCTCCTTAGGTATAGACAGGGTGCTATTAAATAGCCTACTTTCTATAGCAAAGAATCATACCAAAATATCAACTTTAAGAAACTTTACTTCACCATTAATATTATGAGGAATTCTTAAACAATATTCCATTTATTACGTGCAAGTAAAAGAGTAGAACAGAGCACTACAAAAAAAAAAAAGGAAAATCACATAAACCATACCTTCTCCTTGGCTTTATTGGGGCTAGTGGTTTTAGGATTGGAAAAAGTGGCTTCTTTTTCTACAGTGCCCAGAAAACGATGCTCTGAATGAGAATGGAATGACACCGTGCCCTTGGGAAGTTTTTTAATCCTAATAGCATGATTTCTTTGGGCAGAGAGCATATCCTACAAGTGATTAAACAAAATTAACTTTAGAACTGACATGAAACATCAGAAAACTACTTTTGAAATTCTCTTCTGAAATGCTACTCACAGGAACCACAGTAAATTCTACTTCATCTGCAATATGAAGTTGGTTCCCATCCAGAATTTCACTGAAGTGGAAGAACATACGAGCATCCCGATCCACACACTTGATGAAACCAAACCCATCTCTCATGGCAGCGATTACACCCTGAAACCCAAGTAACATGTCAAGTAAGGGAACATTCAAGTTTGAAAGCATCACTGACTCTTTAAGAATTTTCCCTACACATAATCCAAATATCGACATTTTAATTTTTTCACTTAAATAAAATCATTACTTTCAATATAGTAACGCAACCTCAGTAATTTCCCAAACCTTGCCAGATGCTACTCCTTGGCAAGTACCGAAAGCCCAAACTGAATGATATAACTCCCAAAGACTTAAAAAATTTACCCATTGAAGTTTAAAAGTTGGTAACAAAGGTCAATTCTTTTTTATGTGAGTTTAAGCACAGGAAAAACTTGAATTAAGTCAAGAAAAAAAAAGAAAACTTTTTGAGGTTTTGTTCTTTTTATTACGTTATTAGCTCTGTGAGGGCATTATATCTGCAATACCTGCGGCACTCAAAATATTACTGCAACAACACAATTATCAACAATACAACAGAGTACATATTGCATGTTTACTATTGTAGAGGTGATTATTCTGTGTTGGAGTAAACAATATTCTGGCACTAAATCCCTGCCAAGTCCTGTGGTAATCAAGCTATCTATTCCCTACTACAAAGGAAAACATCCCACCTGAGGTTATTAGAATTTTAAATCATAAGTTCAAACCTTCAAACTACGTTAGAAACACAAACTTTAAGTGTTAAATAAGATTGGTTCCTGAAAAATCAAAGATTAAAAAGTGTTAAGAAATTTAAAAATTTCATTGAATGTACCTGGTTTCAATGACAATATTAAGATGTACTGCAGATGGAATGAACACACATGGAATTAAATATAAATTATGCCTGAGAAAGTTCACCTGAGTCTGTAAAATATAACAATTCTGGCACACATCATTCTAGGACATATCCATTATCTTAGGAAAACAATTTTGGAAAATCTAATTGTTACAGTAACAGGCCTGAATCTATTCACTTTTCATGTTGAAGGATCAGAGAACCAGACTCACAAAACAGCTTAGCAGTCATCTTGTCCAGGTTTTCAACTTACAAACTTTTCCACAAATATTTTCAAGATAAATAGCCGAGGCAGATGTCACCCCAAACTCGCTTGAATGTCTGTGGTTCCTAAGTACCTTAACAAGGTAACTTCCCAATAGGGTAATTAACTTATAAGAACTTTAATTTAGTGGTACAAATTGAACGTAAGACAAATCCCTTCACATTTTACACAGGTCCAATCAATAATAATGAATACTTACCATTTCTCTAGCTTCATTAGTGAACTGAAATGTATTTGATAGAACTTCTATATTGGTTGCTCGTTCTAACTTGTCCCGTCTGTCTGTTGAAATATTAAACCTAACGTGGTCACCTTCAAGCAGGGTCACCTTGGATTTTGTATCTTTATCTCCAAATGGAAGTTCTTTAGGAATCACAAAATCAACTTTGATTCGTCCTGGCAGTGGGTCATTCTGATGAGAAGAGAACATATTTTTAGGTGGAGATTTCTCATCCTTCCTAGTTCTAAGTTAAACAAGAAAAATACAAAGAGCAAACTCAAATTATTTATAATATAGTTTCCTGAAGGAAAATAAAGGTGTTGACAACATTAAGTTCAATTTCAAAGTTTCATGTCTGGTTGTCACATGATGCAACCATAAAAATCTTAACACTGCAGTTTAAGATCCCACACTCTAGTATGAAGAGATTTTACTTAACAATATTTCTAGTCTTTTAATAGTTCACATTTCTTCAGCAACAATGCCATCCATCTTCTTACCTCTTCCACCAAAACAGAAGTCAGGGAGGGACTGAAGAGGAGAAAACAAATATACATCCAAACTGCAACTGCAGTGTGCTTAAGATATGTTCCACTCTTATACAACTACACTAATAGTATGGAATAAAATTCCAGTGTGCAACATATACCACACTGTTCTATTACTAATGAGGCAAAAAAGAATGCTTCTGGAAAAGATAACGTACCTGGTTTTTACTGGGTACTTTTGGGATAACTTTGGTTACAGTTCCTTCAAAATGTTCAATGCTGATATCTTCAAAAATGACTGTTCCTTGAGGCAATAATCTGACATCTGTTGCAACTTCTTTACCCTAAATCAAAAAGGGGTGGGGCACAAAAACTTTCAACTATTTCACAAAAATGTAATCCACTATCAAAAGGCCAGAGAAGAAGAGAGCTATCTTACATTTCTGTCCTTGATTGTGAATTCCACATCATCTCCAGGCTGCAAGGTTTCCAGGTCACCTTTAAACTCACTGTAGTGGAAGAATATCTCTTTTACAACATCACCTCTTTCAATAAAGCCAAATGCCTCCTAAAGCAAACCAGACAAAAACCAAACAGAAAATCCAGAAACATTATTACACTTGGTAAGAATTTATGATTGCAACTTAAACACAATAAGCCTTTTCATATTATACTGCTATTAGAGTAAGAATTTAAAGTTTAATATTATCAATGAGAGGATCCCTCCAAAGATCTCACTGTTCTTTGAGATTACTAAGTCTATCTAGTTAGGTCTGGCCTTGAACTCATAGCAATCCTCCTGCCTCAGCCTCCTGAGTGCAGGGATCACAGGTGTGTACACCAGGCCCAGCTCAAAACACCTATTTTCAACACCACCAACTGAATTAGCAACCAAGGAATTTTAAGAGCTTTGTTTCAAGGTAAATGGTGAAATATTTTTTATAGCAGAAGATAGATGTGAAGAATAAATGTGAAGCAGTCCAAAACGAATTCTCAAATCTGCTGACACTTACCTTCATGGCACAAACTACCCCCTGACAGCGGGCTTGTTTCTTTTTCAACAGCATAATGTTACGAGCACTTACAGCACCAGTACTAGAAAAGAGTAAAGAAAGGGAAATAAAAAGTGTCAAAAATACACTGCGGGGGGGGGGGGGGGGGGAGACCGACCACTAGCTGACACATAGGCTGGAAAAATAAGGTTTTGTAGCTTTAAAACTTATGGGCGACTATGAACAAATAGAAGATTTATGATAGCTAATCCTTTTTATATAGCTTCACATCCTCAAGCCTTCCTAATCTTTTAAACTTAGGATATTTTCTATTGAACTGTTACTTCTTTGTAAAAAAATTACTTTACATATGATGTTGTACTCTTCCTTTTCTGTCTCAACAAAAGCACTGGAATAGACACAAATGGAATACTACCCAAAACACTAAATTTTTAAAGGTTATTGAAAAAAAAGTTTGAATGAAAATACTGAAGAATGTACTGTCAACTGAGGTACTAGTGATAAAGATGAATTTTAAGAGATAGTCTGTTATCAACAAATACTAACTTTAGTAGCTATCTCAATATTTTTAACAAGTACAAAGTAAAATGTGAGTAAATGAAGCATTTTTACATTTTAGAGAATTCCCTATGTTTTAAAAATGGCATTCACCTCCCATTGGAGAAATTAAACAAATTAAGAGATATCACATGTTGCTCTAATGCCCTTATATAACAGTTGAAATGTAAATTCGATTTTGTTTTATTAAAGATACCACACAGACTATGTAATATACAACAGTATTGTCAATATACCTGTTTTAAGAGCTGCAGACCTAGAAATTAGTTCCCTTAATTCTTCACAAATGGTAATTTCCCTTTATAACAATTTAGATTAACAGAAAAATCCTGTTTTTTTTGCCACTTGCTGCAGATTTAAACACTGTATGAATCTAACCAATTAACAGTGAGAATTTTATACTTCATTTTACAGATGAAGAAACTTACCAAGTAAAGCTATTATGAGTATTAAGAACTTTATAAAAAAGTATTTAATATAAATGCTTGGCACATAACAATAACTTAATAAAGGTTAAATAAAGCCCTATCATTAGCTTCCTCCTTAAATTCAAGATTTATTTGATTTTTGGACTTCAGGTTAAATTGAGGCCTTCAGACTGGAATTGCAACTATTGGTACCCACAACTCAGTCTCATTTTTTCCACCCTTGCCAAAAGGTATGATTCAAGGCAAGTAACACTGTATGTACTCTTAAAATTTCTCTTCCATATGCTATTGAAAAGTGTATCCTAGCACTTTCTCCAACCTCCTATTTTTAAGTTCCTTCTCGTTACATCTCATCTGTACTCCTAAAACAAAAACATTTACTCCTCGGTTTTCTTAACTATACTTTCCTTAAATGCTTATGCAAATGTATCCCACAGCTATGTTTCCTGGCTGTCATTAGCTTCTAAGTTTCAGTGCTAATATGTGTAACTATAGCTGATGTGTCTACGCAAGTATACCACGAACACTTCAAACTCTCTAAGTACCACAAGTATAATCCTCCTCCCACCCTGCGTACTTTTTCCTCTATCTCATTAGGCCTGACCAAGCCAGGAAAAAAAAAAAAAGAAAAAAGAAAAAGAAACAGAAAGAAGCATTTGAGATTATTCTTCTCAATTCTAATTTTCACTTCTGTATCCCAAAACCACTGGTCTGTTTGATTTTCATCTTTCATGTTAACTCTCACATCATTATCTCTAGTCTAGAGCATCTATTCCTATTATCTAAAGCTTACCATTTCCATCACTTCCAAAAATCTACACCAATTATACTCTCAGTTTGAAATATGTCAAAGACTCTTGATTACAGTATAATGCTTAAACTTCTTGCAATCCAAACATCTCAACCTGAGTCAGTGTTGTTTTTATTTTATTTTATTCTAAATTTCAAATGAATTAAGGACAGGACTACAGCTCAGCAGTGCAACACCTGCCTGGCAAGCACGAGGTCATGAATTCCCCTCCCAGTATCCAAAACAAAACAAAACAGAACTAAGTTAAATTTTGAGTTAAGTTTCAGCTATTTCCCCAAACATGCCATGGTACTTCCTCTACCCATAATGCCTTTTCATCTTGCTAGTGACATCACACTGTGTCCTCAAAAGTTAACCTCAAAGTCACTAAACTCTGTAACAGCTGTCTGAAAACTCTGATCATGTTTTAATCACCTCTTTTCTGACACTTAAATAGGGCCTGTCACAGAATATTCAAGCCTCTAAGACTCAGCTTATGACTAAAAAATACTTTAAAAAATCATGAAAACTGTGCAGGTTTACAAATTTTTGCAGCACTGGTGATCAAACCCAGGGGCTTGCAAATGCCAGCAAGCCCTCTACCAGAGCTAAACACCCAATTCCATCTTATTTTTTTAATAGGGTTCTCACTATGTAACCTATGCTGGCTTTAGTTCTTATCACTCCCATCTCAGTCTCCTGAGTGCTGGGATTACAGATTACAGCCCAGCTTACTTCACTTAACGTGAAAACAACAAAAAAGCATTACTTAGATTGAAAGATTTTGAAAAGAACTTACTGTTTATTGTTATCAATTACAAAGTTTATTTTATCTCCTGTTTCCAGCTGAACATTCCCTTCAACATCTTCAGGGGTGTAAGTCAGGTAAAACACTTCCTGTGAATTAATAAGTTATTATTACTATCTTGGCAAGAGGCATATTCACTGTACACTGTGATTTACTTACTTAAATACCTCTTACACTGGCAATTTAAAGCCAAATTTCTTAAAATTATATGCTTTATGACAAGTAAGTTGTTTTACTCAAATAAACATACTTTCCCCTCCATAGTGCTCATGACTTTTGGGAGTCCACAGCTGAGCAGCAATCCAACTTCAAAAAGCTTACACACGGAAGCATTTGCCCAGAGACTATAGTTACATTTCAAAAAGACAATTTTTTATGTAAGGCATTCCAAACAAAAAAGCTGCAGTCAGTGCTTATTTGAACCAGAAAAAAGTCCCACCCGACAACCCCCCAAAAAGTGATTAAAAGGAGCATTTTACCTTAAATGTTCTAACTAAGGTCACACTTGGGCAAGCTAAGACACTTGGAACTCCTATGGATTTTTCCTTTTTAAATTATTTGATTATGCTGCACTTGAAGCCTCTTAGAAACCAAATTTACAACTGATTTTAGCAACTAGCTTACGTTTTCCATTTTGAATTTTTAAGTACGCTTATAGATCACATGGTGGATCAGGCAAAGGTTTAAGAAAAATACACAAGTTTACCCCATTACGTTCGTAGCATACACTCCCTGTTGGACTCTGACCGGGGGCAGCTGGAGATTTACTCTCTAAGTTGTGAGGAACAGCGCACACAACCTACCAGTCAAAAAAAAAAAAATTTCCATTGCTAATCATTTCAGGAGCAGCACTGTGCAATATAAACTGAATTTAATATCCTCTATACTAGACACAGGGATGCATTTTAATATGATCCACAAGAGGATGTCATGCTGCCAACTTTCAAACTTACAGTACATAAACTGACTGTAAGTACAGATGTAGGGTTATATAGAAAACCCAATTCAGCCTTGACCATTATTTTATTTCAGGTCAAGAAATGCCAGTGCTTCTGATATAATTTTAAAGTAGTATTCTTTATATACTATAACTCTCTTGCGTGCAAACTGAGGAGATGGGAAAGAATCTTCCTTTTCTAACGTGAAAGATACGCAAATGCAGGGCCCTAAGAAAATACAAAGCATTGAAGTTACTAACTTGTCCATTTATTCGTTCTTCAGGGTGGATTTCTGGTTTTATCTTCACTAGTTTAATAGCAATTGGTTTCCCAGTCCGCCGGTCAGATGATACTTCGAATTCAACATCATCTGGGGTGGGGGGAAAAGCGTTATTTTTGTTAGACTAACCTTGTGTGTGTGTGTGTGTGTGTGTGTGTGTGTGTGTGTGTGTGAGACAGGATCTCATTATGCAGCTCAGGCCGGCCTTGAGCTCATTCTGTAGCCCAGACTGCTCTCAAATTCATAAAGATTCTCCTGCCTCAGCCTCCTGAGTGCTGGGATTACAGGCATGCACCAATCACATCTGGCTCAGAACCTCACTTCTGAGCTCTACTTAATAAGAAACACTGAAACAGCCTCAAACCAGCAGTTCTCAGTGTAGTCCCTGGGCCAGCAAAAGTGTAGTACCAGGAAGCAGACCACAGGCCACATTCTGCCACTCCCTGAAGACCCAGGAAGACAGCGCTGGTGAAAAAGTACACCACTTAGGCTTCCACAAAACATTTAGGTTCTCTTGACACACACTGCCTTTCCACAACCATTTTCTGGCATAGCATTAAATCTTAGTTTTCATGACATTTACACATAGTGCAAATGAGGCTATAAAAAGATCATAATCAGGGGGCTGGGGATTTAGCTCAGCGGCATAAGCGCCTGCCTTGCAAGCAGGCAGTCGTGAGTTCGATCCCCCATACCGACAAAAAAGACCAAAAAAAAAAAGATCATAATCATTCTTTTAACATCTTTGTGCTTCAGTTCCTTTTCTGTAAAATGAGGATGAAGCCTAACAAACAACAGTTATGAGGATTAACCAAAATAACACTCAACAACAGTATTTCTATTAGTCGTTCTGAGACCTTTTCAGAAGTTTAAAAATCAAATATAGTTCATAATCTTTTTACTTTAGTTTTCTGAGACAGGGTTTTACTATATGGTACAAGCTGGCCTCAAACTCAAGGCCAGCTTCCTGCCTCAGCCTCCCAAGTGCTCAGGTTATAGGTATGCAACACTATCCCTAGCAGTTTCAATCCTTTAACTCTTTCATCATCTACTGTAAAAATATTCTGGTATCTTTTACTCAACTTTGCTTTCATCTCTTAAAAAAGAACTACCATGACAAAAATTATGATACTACATACTTCAGTAACTGATAACAGCTAAATGCCAAAACTTTCAATTTTTTTTTGGACTTAAGTTTCTCCTGAAAAGTATTCTCATGAACAAGTTGACATGCAAAAGAAATTTGAAACAACTGTCAGATTACCTCCTACTTTTAAGTCCTGCAGGTTGCCATTATATTGTGAACAGTGGAAGAAAAGTCTAGCTTGACGTTCTGAACACTGAATAAATCCGTAAGAGGTTAACAGTTTTTCAATAACCCCAGTTTCACGAAGTGCTGCTGAAGTACCATTGGGGTACCCATTATGTCCATTGTTGTGGAGAAGGTTTGGATCAAAGCTCATCTGTTTTAAAAAGAAAATGAACTCAATATATATAGTGATTTATACATTATTTCCACAGTATATTAAATGTGATTATCACTAGATTTTCAATATAAAAAGCAAAGAAACTAAAGATAAAATACATAAAGGGACGATTATGGGCTTTTAGTTAAATGTTAATTTAGTTAATAAAACATTTCAGAAAAAACAATCTATAAATTATTTTAGCAAACTATATCCTTGTTAATGGCAGAATATCCACTTACCAGACAAAAGTATTTCTAATGTTTACTATTATCATTTTTGGTTTCTGGACACAGGGTCTCACTATGTAGTACAGGCTGGCCTCAAACTCATGGTAATCCTATCTCAGCCTCTCAAGTGCTGGGATTATAGGCATGTGCCTCACACCTAGCCTTGAAGTTGCTAAAGTAAAGCAACTATATTAGTAAAAGCTTTTAGCTTAAATTTCCTTTTGTATTTTTTGAGCCAGCATCTTGCTATGTAGTTCAGCCTGGCCTTGAACTCAATATATATTCTAGGACGTTTCAAACTTGTCGCAATTCTCCTTCATCAGCCTCTTGAGTGCTAAGATTACAGACATGTGCTACCATGACCAATTAAATTAATTTTAAGTAACTAAAACAACAATTGTAGACCAAACTTACTAACAGTCAAGAGATAGCAATGCAAAACTACCAAGATACTTCCTTAAGGTATTTATTAACAACTACTTTGGAACTTCAATAGACATCCTCGTAAGATTTGTTAAACCATGCATGTTGAAGGCATAAAGTTAGTGGTAATTAAGAGCACAAAAGAAAGTTTCCATGCTATACTTTACACTAGAAAGTTTTGGAGTAATATATATCTAGCTCTTTTGAAAGACAATCCAAAATAGTAAGTTAAAAAATTCCTAAGACAACACTCCAATACAGCAAAAACTTTTCAATTCTAACTGTTCAATCACACAGGTATATTTAAAGAAATCTTTTCACCTGTGAGGAACTCTTCATTTTTCAGACACTGATAAAAATCTCTGTATTTTTATGATCACATCTATGATTGGGTAAAGTAAAGCTAAAGAAAAAAAGCATTAAATGCAATGCACTGGAATATATAATCGTCATTAAATACTACCATAACAGTAACCTTGGATATTTCTCTTAATAAGACCACAGAGATGAATTGTAAGTTTAAATAAAACATGACAGGGAACAAGATCCTTAACAAGGGCTATAGGTATGAATTTACTACAATAACAAGATCTCCATATCTTTACAATTGCTTTCAGATCTTTGCACTGAAAAATTTAACTTGTGAACATTTTTCATTTAGGTAAAATGCTGAGCCCTATTAATAAAAATGATATGTATTAATTAGGAAAAAACAACCACAATTGAGGCCAGACATGGTGGCACATGCCTGTAACCCCACCACTCTGGAATCTGAGGCAGAAGGATTGCACTGAGTTCAAGGCAAACTTAGGTTACAAAGTAAGTTCAAGGCCAGCCTGAACTGTACAGTGAACCTGGTCTCAAAAGACAGGGGGGAAAAAAAAAAAAGATAACCCAAAGTATGAATAGTTAAAATAGTTGGTGGGATGGTTAAAAACGCAAACCAAGGACACTGCACCTAAAAGTGGTTAGTCTTAATACCTTCATGCTAGTCAGTTATATTAAATCAATTTTTACAAAAGCCCATGAAAAAGTAGTAGCATGTCATCACTACTTTACCAAAGGAGAAACAGAATACAGAGGTTAAATGACTTGCTAAAACCAAACTGCAATACAAACTGAGGTCTATCTCCACAACCAGGGCTGCTTAAAATTAAATCTCCTGGCTCTCTGGTTAATATATAAAATTTGATTCAGTGAAGACAATGAGATGTCTTCTGACACATGTTGAACAGAATATCCTAACTACAAAAGTTATTTCAAAGTTGAAAGAAATGTTTAGAAAAGTTAGAAGTCAGTCTGCAGATTATTTCAACAAACCTTAAGTGACCTTACTAAGTCATGCGTGTAATGTAACACAAAGTCAGACAAGCTAAGATCAGTGTTTTCCTGACTTACAGATCTCTGATACGTGGGGGTCTTCTTTTGTTTTTTAGTCCCAGATGAGGTAGAAGTTGAAGATAAAGATAAAGAAAGTGAAGGAGGGGCTGCAGGAGGGGGATGAGGCTCTGAAGTCAGAGTAAATGCATTCTCCATCTCAAATAGCTGTGGTAATATAGCATGATGTTTATAACTATGATAAATAACATACATATGACATTCAACTTTTATGTTTTCTAAACTCAGGCTTGTTTACAGAAAAATGTAATTCATTTAATCAAATTTCTATTTCATGGGACATACATCACATTAACATGTTCAAAGCCCTTAATCTCTATTCCATGTTACCTACAAATAAGGAATCCCTAGTGTTTGCTGGAGTGAGACTATTCAGTCAAATTTCTTTTTTCCCCCGGATTTCTTCCTAATGTTTAGGAACTTTAAGTAGAGTTCTCAATTACTGGTCTCCATAAGTGGAGAATACACAGATAATTCAAGTGTGTAAAAATATTAGAACTGGTTTTTTGCCAGAAATAAAAAATTAGCTTTTATGGGCTGGGGATTTAGCTCAGTGGCATCAGTGCCTGCCTGGCAAACGTGAGGTTGTGAGTTCCATCCCTGGTACAAAAAAAAAAAAAAAGCTTTTATATTTGTACTTGTATTTACAGTACAGGCATCACTAAGTTGGTTGTGTCAGATGAACACATGCTTCATATTATTTCAGGAATCTTCAGGAAAAACTGGAGACCTCCGTAACAGTGAAGCCCTCATTAACTAAACTGATTTCAACATACTATAGTTTACACTCAACTAGTTCGATATACATATTTAATTATCTATCTCAACTGAACTACCCTCACAAATATACAAATGGTTGAAAAATATTTTTGCAAAACCTTATACAGAAAACAAGTTAAACACAGGTAAAGAACATAGAAGCTACCACTTCTATTCCTGGTACTAATTATTCAATCTCTTCATTTTCAGGGTAGAGATCTGAAGAATGTAACACAAATTAAAAGTATGATACCAACTTGAATTAGTGGCAATGAGCGAATTATAAACGAGTTCAAGGCCAGACTGCACTCAATAGTGAGACCCTGTCTCAAAAAACCAAAACCAAAACTCTAAAAACAACAAAAAAGTCATTATTATATTATTTCTGATAGAGTAATTCATGATAGAATAGTTTTAAAATTTAACATTAAAAAAAGTGAAGCACTCAGCCAGGCATGGTGGTGTACACCTGCAATTTCAGAATTCTATGAGTCTGTGGCTGAAAGATGTCAGTTTTGAAGTCAGCCTGGGTAACCTAAAGACAGTGAGACCTGATCTCATTTTCTTACTGTTGTTTTTCTACACAGGGTCTTGCTACATAATTCAGGTGGCTGGCAATGAACTCACTATGCAGCCCATTCTAGCTTTGAGCTCATGGAAATCCTCTTGTCTCTGCCTCTGGATTGCCACTGCATCCCACCATGCCTCACTCTGTCTCAGAATCTAAAGAAGGGCTGAGGATATAGCTCACTGCCAAGGCCTTCAGTTCAACTCTCAGTACCACAAAACAAACAATTTGAATCCTGATAGCATTCAGAACACAATCTAAAGAAACATTTCTGCATGTAAAAGGCAAACTATTTTCATAATACTTATTTTTCTACCTATAGCAATGTTTAACAATGCATACACAGTCTACAAATATACATATTGACAATATGCAGTCTTTGTTTTTTTGGCTGGTAATGGGGTTTGAATCCAGAGTTTATACTGAGCTACATCCTTAAAACTTCCTGTTTTTTTGAGACATGGTTTCAATAATCTGCTCAACTACCCAGGCTGGAGTGGAACTTGTAATTCTTACATCTCAGCCTCCCACAGTGATGGGATTACAAGGGTGTACCACCACACCCAGGACATATTTTCAATTAACAAATAAAAACAAAGCCATTATTCTAGATTACTTAGATTATGATTTTCAAATATGCTTCATTGTTGGAATACAGCTCTTACTACACAAATAAACATCCTTGCAGGTAAAAGAATCCTATTTTACTTGGCAAAGGGAAAATCAACTAGAATCAGAAGGATTAGAGCAAGTACATTCTCTTTTTGAGACAGGGTCTTATGTAGTTCTGGCTGGCCTTGAACTCACAGCGATCTTCCTGCCTCAGGCTCCCATGTGTGGGGATTACAGGCATGCACCGCCATGCCCAGCAAACACTTCCTTCGAAGACTTGTTTCACCAACAAGGATAATGGAATTTAGGCTGGACTGTTCTTCAGTCTTACTTCACCCCTAAATGTGTATCAAAACAGAGATGTAAAGGAATTTTTCTGTTCTCTTCTTCCAGAATCTCTACTTCTACTGACAAGGAATTAGCTTGGAAAAGGTATCTCAAGTCACCAGAAAATGGAATTTTATTTTTAATCTATATTCATTATCCCCTTAACTTCTGCTGCTTTCAGGTCTCTGAATGCAAATAATTTTTTACACTAATTGCTGTCTTTTGAACAGGCTCTAATTATTCACTGAAAGACATTCCAATCCTATTCTTATTGTACCCTAACCAATACAGAATACTGAGTGATTATTTCTCTTGATTACAGACTAATTTTAGTAACTTTATATATACACACATTTAAAAAATCTTCTGCATTTAACAGATCAAAATAGTGAAAGTGAGTTTTCTCCTTTTAGTACTTCTAAAATTAATCATTTATTTCCAAGTAAAAAGTATAACATTTTAAAAATTCCTTTTATTGGTTAACCCCTTTTTGGTGTGATACTGGGGACTGATCTCAGGATCTTCACATTGAGCTACACATCCCTGGAATTCCAATTTATAAATATTAGTTTTCAATTATTAAGAGTTTGCATAGTTTTGTTTCATCTTAATACTTGTCTCAAGGGCTGTTGGGATGGTTAAATAAGTTGCTTCATACAAAAAACCTGTAATTAGTGTTTAGTACAGAAGTATTCATATAACTACTTATTAGATCTTTCAAAAAAGAGTAAGGATATGGTAATACACACTTGTGATCCCACCTTGGGAGGTTGAGGTAGGAGAAACAATTGGAGCTCAAGGCCAGCCTGAACTACAATACTAAGACTTTGTCAAAAAACCAAAACCAAAATTATACCCTTACAAACCAAAACAAATAAAAATAAAAGTAAAAAAAGTATCAGTCTGAGCTGAATGTGGTAGTACACACCTGTACTCCTGAATTCACTCAGGAAGCTGAGACAAAAGGATTCCAAATTCAAGCACAGCCAGGGCAATTAAGTGATTTGGCATGACCTTTTCTCACAATTTAAAATTAAAAAGGGCTGGAGATAAAAGCTCAATGTGAAGGCCCTGGATTCAATCTCTACTACTATTAACAAATAGTAAAACTGCTTTTTATAATTCTAGTCCCCAGAGATAACACTTACCATTTCATATTAGCATATTTTCAACTTCAGATTATAATCTAATGAGCACAACACATTTCTACAATATATACTTTCAATGAATTTCCACTTAAGCGTCCTTATTCCTGGGAACTAGAAAGTTTTCTTAGCTTGGACAACTAGTTAGACTGGATTCATTCTATGTAGGACAACTAGATTCAGTTTCTCTAGGCTTAACTTCACATTGAGTTGGGTCACCAAATCTTCATATTTAACATTAGAACACCTAATATCCACCTGGTCCACCATTTATATGTGTATATATACACACTAGATTTTTCTTACAGTCTATCCAAGTATTTCTGTTCTCAATCTATCCTTCAAATGAACATACTATTACTTTAAACCGAAAGCAGTACCTAGATATGTGACACACACCTATAAACCCAGCTACTTGGGAGGCTGAGGAAGGAAGATTCGAAGTCAAGGCCAGCCAGGGCAACTTTGTGAGACCATCTCAACAATTAAATTTTCAAAAGGCTGGGAGGGACACTGATGGTGCATTAGTGGTATAGCACTTGCCAGACATAAATAATGCCTGGGATTCAATCCTCAATACTATAAATAAAAACAAAAAGCAACAACACAAACTAAGTCAGGCATGGCAGCACATGCCTACTATAATCCCAGCACTTAACAGGCTGATGCTCATCTCAGATTGAAGGCCATCCTGGCCTATACAGTGAGTTCAAGGCTAGTCTGAACAGTATTGCTAGACCCTGTCTAAAAAAAACAAATAAAAAATAAACAAACAAAAAGGTTACAGTTAAGAAGCTATTTCACAAAAAATAAAAATAAAAAGCTATCTCATTTTTGAAAAACAAAATCTATTATGTCTGTATTTACACCCATCTGATGGCTCCCTCCTGAACAAAGCCAAATATTCTATTGGGCCCTTCAGAACCTGAGTCCAGGAGCCTGTTTATTCTGCTCATCCCACAAAATTGTTTCTTCTACTCTGTTCAGAACTACACCATTGAAGATAGATACAAAGTTTCCAGGATCTCCCTGAGTCTACTAATTCCTCTCTACCTGTACTAGAAGACACTTCTCCCTCTTATTGCTACAAATTTCAGGCCTGCCTGGATTACAATGTGAGCTCAAAACCAGCCTGAACTGCACAGTGACACCTTGTCTCAAAAAACCAAAAAAAAAAAAAAAAGGTTCTTTCCTTAACAAAACGTTACTTACCTTCAAATGTCCTTCCCTTCATATTCTTAGCACTTTCATTAAACTGTTTTTTTCTAATAATTGCTCTAAGTCCTAAGTTTATAATACCTTATCCATTTATTACTATATTCCAGCAACAATAAGCCCAAATATAGTAAGCATGTCAACCACTCACTCACAAACATGCAGTAAATGCTAGCTAGTGACTGTACATAAGTATTAGATGTTGGAGAGGGTGGAGAAAAGGAAGCAGAGATTATCAGTACCAAAAGTATCATCTAGGTTTCAAAAAGACTGCAATAGACATTTGTATTTGAAAATTTTAAGTAGTACAGAAAGCACTTCTCTAAGAGACCAATAAATCAAATATAATTTTTGTGGAAAATCCCAGTTCTGGCTATATTTATTATCCTAACAAAAGACAATAAAATTAATGTTAGTATTTTCATACTAGAAGTCAGATTTGGTGATGTAGGACTGTAACTGTAGCACTAAGGAAGCTGAAGGAGAAGCATCATCAGACTGGGATACGTAGTGATTTAAGGCCAACCTGAATTACATAGCAAGAGTCTATCTTTTTTTTTTGTCTTTTTCGTTTTTATCGGTACCAGGGATTGAACTCACGACTGCCTGCTTGCAAGGCAGGCGCTTACGCCGCTGAGCTAAATCGCCAGCCCCAAGAGTCTATCTTAAAAAACAAACAACCACCATCAAAAAAAAAAACTCCCCAAAACTAAATTATACTGAAAACATAAAAGTGATTTTCTGATTATCTTTAGATAAGAAATTAGGATTTTATATTTAATCAAGCAGAAAATCCACAATTACAAAATCCCTTTTTGTTCCTTGAGGTACTAGGGACTGAATACAGTGCCTTCACTCTGAATTATATCGCAGCCTTTTACTAACTTTTTTTCCCTTAAAGATAAGGTCTCAACAAATCACGAAGTTGCCTAGGCAGGGCTTAAACTTGTGATCTTTCTAAGTCAGCCTTCATAGTGCTGAGAGTATAGACATGTGCCATTAAACCTGGCTTGGAAGTAATTCTTATTAAAACTACAAACCTACCTCGCAGTGATAATCAAATATTGCACTTTCAGTAGTATTAGCTGATTCTTCTTTTTCAGCACAAGTTTCAAAGGGTGAAAGTTGCTAGTATTAAAAAAAAAAAAAAAAAAAGCGAGAGAAAATGGTCTACCAAGCTAATAAAGAATACAACTGCTGCTGCACCGGGCAATCTCACAGTACAGCACTGAAGAAAACAAAGACTACTAGCAGCGTTGGGAAGTGCTCTTTCAAAGCTGTTGAGTAGGCACAAACTTCTTGTTTCAGATCAAGTGTTGTGTCTTCAACTTAAGTGTACTCTTCTTTGGTCTTGCTGGTTGTTACGAGGTTTGTTCCTTGCCTGATCTGAACTTGAAGCAGCAGTTTCAGGTGGTAAAGTCTGTTCTGTTACACTTCATACTAGAGGCAAAAAGTGAAAGTATTAAGTATAACATACACCAAACAATCAGGAACATCGCGTGAGAAATGAGACAAACTCATCACATTAACTCAGACTCACTAGAGAAGCAAGCAATACAGTACTCTTTCTTTGGTAGTATTTGAAATATTGCTCAACTGATTGCTTTTTTAATGTTACACACCCAAAACCTCCAACTATTTCACAATCTTTACTGACCTCCTACCCCTAATAAACTGGAAGTTAATATTCAATTTGATATAAGCATTTTTAAAAGCATCTGGCACTGCATTAAGTTTTGTGGAAAACATAAAAAAGTTTCATCAGTTTATCATCTTGCTAAGAGTTAAACTTAGAGAAAAAAAGCAGAACAAAATGCCAAAAATGTGCTCAGCTACTATTTGAGAATATTAAATTACACCTAAAACTATTGTTTACTCACTATAGTATGAGCATCAAAACAACATGGTGGGCACAGAGAAGATGTAGAATTTGAAATGAAAAATAGACAGAATTCTAAGAAAAGAAATAAAAGTCAAGTATTCTAGGCATGAAATATCACATAAACCAAGCCTGAATATGCCACTACATACTAAGTTCCTTGAGAGTTGGGACCATATATGATTTTTATTATGTGTTTAAAGCTTAGCATCAAGTAGTTTTTCTGCCCAAATGACTGTGGCAACAAGGGTGGGTTATTTCAGAGGAAATCAACAGAGATCTAGGCTGCAATAAAATAGGATATGTGGCCTGACTGATATAGTACAGACAGATTATGAAGCATTTCAATAAAAAAACTGGCTTAGTTCTTCATCAAAGTAGTATTGAAATCCTATGGGAGATGACAGTGAAAGAAACAAACCTCATTGAAACTACTGTAGTAAACATAAGAAAGTAACACAGGGGGCTGGGGATTTAGCTCAGTGGCATAAGGGCCTGCTTTGCAAGCAGGTGGTCGTGAGTTCAATCCCTGGTACTGATAAAAACCGAAAAAGACCAAAAAAAAAAAAAAAAAGAAAGTAACACAGACATCTTTTGTATTATTTATAAAATAAAAAGTGACTATTTTGCACTGGCTCCAATGTAAATAAAACAGTACTGTTAACTGCAATGAGTTTTGGCTGGGCATGGTGGCAGCACTTGGGAGGCTGAGGCAGGAGGATCACTATTGAGTCTGAAGTCAGCCTGGACTACATAGGGAGGAAACCCTGTTTCAAACCCTCCACCCCCTAAAAAAGTACTTTAAATATGAATCACATTATGTTGCTCTGACTCGTCTGAAACATTTGGACTCAAGTGACCCTCCCACAGTCTCGGCAGCATGACAAGAGCGCACCCTGTCCAGCAACTAAAATGATTTATATGGGGAGAAGCAAAAGGCAGATATACTGATAGGTGGACACTGTATTCACATGTAGTCCAGAGGCTGAGTTAGGAAGCCTGTATTGAGTTCCAGGGCAGGCTGAGCTACATAGTGAGTTCAAGGCCAGCATGAAGTACACAGCAAAATCCTGTCTCAAACACACAAACATACACACTCATGTAAAAATAAATTTTCAGACAGAAGACTGATGATTAAAGTGAGAAGTCAGTGCTGCAAAGCCAGTTTAACCAGGAGAGCTCAATTCCCACTACTGTTACTGGGTCCAGGATGTAGCTTAGCAGTACAGCACCGACCTGGTACCTTGTGCATGAGGCCAAGTTCAATTTCTAGTGTATTAAAAAAACAACAACAACAACAAAAAAGGACAGCCATACACTTATAATCCCAGCACATGGGAAGTAGAGCCTCAACAATACAGTGAGTCTGTCTTTCTCTCTCACTCTCTCTCTCTCACACACACACCCCAACCACTGTTACTAGTAAAACTCAAGAGTCAAGGCTTCCACATAAGCAAAATGAACTCCATAATAGATTTGTCGGTACTTTCTAGTATTTCGTAACTTTATGTCGCTGGGAGTACAGCTCATTGATAGAGTGCATGCTTAATGTGCAAGACCCTGGGTTTAATCCTTAGCAACAAAACAAAAATACCCCCTAAACACACATGCAAAATAAAAACTATTGTCTGTTAAACATTACCTTTGCCTGATTTGTCAATTTCATTTAGATCGTTTTCCTACTAGTTAGAGAAGTCTAAAAGTAATGACTCTTTTAATCACTCAGTTATTCCCTTTCCACCTCTATACCAAATATTCCAGGTTTTACTAGTATTTCCTTCAAGGTTATTTTCTGTATTAGTCCTCGTCCTAAAAGATGTATTTTAGTTCAGGTCCCGAATCTGCCCATTTCTACTGCTGACCTCTTCCATTTTTTAAAACCAGATTATTTACCCAAAACCCCAACTTTAGCCAGGTATGGTGGTATATACACTTGCAATCTTAGTATTAGGGGTTTGGGGGTATGAAGTGCAAGGGAGAGTTGAGGGAAGACAATTAGTTCAAGGTCCGCGTGGAACAGCTCAAACAAGATCTCAAATAATCAAAGCCCTTCAATTTCAGCATGATGCTGTGATACTCTGGTAGTCTCAGCTACTCTGAAGCGTAAGGCAGGAGGATCACCTTAGCCAAGAGTTTGAGGTCAGTAGGGGCAACACAATAGGCCAAAACCTTGCCTTAAAAACATTTTCAGTGATATATTCCTGCTAGCACTTTAGAAAGGAGGTTCTTAGCCCTAACTAAACATCTAATTCAATCCCCTGGCAACTTTCAAAAGACAAACATACAAACAAACAAAAAACTGCAAAAAGTGCTGGGTGTGGTAATACATGCCTGTAATCCTAGCACTATGCCACATGAAGCAGGAGGATCACTACTTGAATTGAAGACAGCCTCGGTTACACAGTGAATTCAAAGAGAGCCTGAATTACATACTCATAACAAACCTGCAAAATAAACAAAGCCTCGGTCCCACACAAATTCTAAATTTACTAAACTATGGGAGGTGTCAGATCTTGGTACATTTTCTTTACTAGCAAAGATTTCTGACTTGCAGTAAAAGTAAAAACCACTACTCAAAATGTCTCTATTCTTTTTACTGCTTTTCAATTCTCTTCCCAGATAGGTCCATTCTGTCCCCTAATCCTTAACTTTGGGCATGTCCCTAAAGATTATCATTCTTTGCTGCCATATAGGTCCACTAAGAGTATAATTTTGGCACCCTCATGGTGCAAGCACATCTCTGCCCCATTTTTAAATTTTTTTGTTTTGGTTTTTCAGACAGGGTCTCACCATGTAGTATAGGCTGGCTTTGGACTACGTAGCCCAAGCTAACCTCAAGCTCACAGCAATCTTTCTGCCTCAACCTTCTGAGTGTTGGGATTACAAGCAGGTACTACCATGTCTGACCCATTTTTAAATTATAAGACAAGGTTTCATTAAATTGCCCAGACTAGAGTCAAATTTTCAACCCTTCTGCCTTCTTGGTCTCCAACAGTGCTGAGATCACATGTGTGCACTACCACGCACAGTTTGCTTCATATTTGTACCTTCTTTTTCTAATTATGCCTCAAACTTTTGAGAGGCAAATTCAACTTTATTACTGTGCCTGTTATCATCCACCCAGTGCATCTAAGCTACTACAGCAATATTTTTTTTCCAAAACACATCAATCGGGGGCAACAAAGACACATACAATGCACACTGTCATCCCCAAATCATTCACTCAGATCAACAGTATCACCGCCTGTTTGTTATTTACTGTCTCCCTTATAACTGTGTTAGCTCTAAGGGGTCTTGGACGAATATATGCACCTAACATTTTTATTTTTGGTGGTGTGATGATTAGGGTTTATTTTAACTCTAACAGCTCCTCATTCTACACCTGGGCTCAGCAGCCTATTTGTGACAAGTTCCCCTTCAAATTGCAAGTCAATGCCTGACTGGCTAGCAAACTCACTCAGCACTCAAGAACACTCTCCTGCATGAAGTGTTTGTATATGGCTCCCAGTGCCATGCCACATCTGCTGGGCCCTTTTGTTCCAGCATGCCCAGGTCAATCACATACAACTTCAGCTCAAAATCAAGCCCAAACTCAGTTTTATGTTGCAGCAGTCTGTCCTCCTGTAGACCTGCTGCTGGAATGAAATGCAGTCATCCTGGTGGCTGTCATCTTTAAGAACAGGTCACAAAGGATGTCAGAGACTTTCTTGCCCAGGAGAGAAAAGCCATAAGGATGACAAGGTGGGGCTTTGCCTCTGACACAGTTCCCAGGTCTGGGATATCACGCTGTATGAAAACGCTGCACAGTATGAAGCAGCAGTCCAAATGGCAGATGGCCGACAATGAGCCCCACAGATAAGCCTCAATGAGAGTCTGATAACTCTCACTGGCTTTGCAGGCTCTCACTAGTACCCTCATCTCATGCTTGCCTTGGTTCACAAGGGAATACCAGCTTCAGTTGCTCTGCAAACGTTTTCGGGCAGGAAGTCAGATCAAAGGAGGCAGTGATCATGCACTTCAGATCCTTGACTCCTACCAATCGATATTCATCATCTATATGGCTGGTCATGCCTTCACCACTGGCATCAAACTTCAGGGATCCCTGGACTAACTCTGGGAATGAAGTAGTTTTCTTGAAGCATGCCAGACTTTCTCTTTCCTTTTCTGGGCAGGTCACTGTGCTTCCTAATGGGCCTTGCAGTACACATACTGTATTTGAGGTGCAGCATCCTGAACACCATTTCCATAAGAGTCCAGAATCATAGGTGTCACTTGCATTGCTGAACTAATATGTCATAAGAAATCTAACCAGGGATATGCAGCTCAGCAGCACAATGCCTGCTTGGCAAGCATGAGGTCCTAAGTTCCATTCCTGGTACAAAAAAGCAAAGCAAAGCAATCTATAGGCAGATGCAGTGGCCCATGCTGTAATCCCAGCCCTCAGGAGGCTAAAGCAGGAGGATCACTGTGAGTTCAAGGCCAGCCTCAACTGTACAGTGAAATACTGTCTCAAAAACATACACACATACGAAGTAAATAAAATGCATCACAATGCAGGACTTTTTGTGTGTGTGTGACATAGGGTTTTACTACATAGCCCCGGCAATCGTCCTCCTTCAATCCTCCAAGTGCTGAAAATACAGGCACGAACCACCACGTCTGGCTCACAATATTGATTTATCATTTTGACAAATCATTCTGAAAGTCATTTGTGGCAAATGTTGAGAGAGGCTAAACCAGTCTACAAAGTATTCCTTCCTAATTCTACAGGAGTTCTGCGCCCCTCTGAGGAAAAGTGAAGACCCAAATAGGCCATATTCTCCATTGCCTAACGTCATCAAACTGTAGCTGAAATTTTCAATAGGAAAAAAAGTTGGGGTTTTTGTTTTGTTTTGCTTCACTATTCCTGTTGATTGATGTATAAACCCATCAAATTCCAGTGCACACCAGGTGTGGTGGCAGTGCCTGCCCTGTAACCCCAGCACTCTGGGCAGGCTAAGGCAGGCGGATCCTAAATATGAAACCAGGCTAGGCAATTCTACAAGATCTTAATCTTTAAATTAATGAAAAATTTAAAAGGTTTAGGGATGTAGCTCAGTGAAGGCCCTGGGTTCAGTTCCTACTGGTAGTAGTGGTGGGTATGGATTGAAATCATCAACCATTAAGTGGAAATAAAAGAAAATCTGAAGGACTACACCTTATCTAAGTTTAAGAGTAACAACCATGTGTTTTTTTGAGACAGGGTCTTGCCATATAGTTCCGCCTGGTCTTGAATCACAACATATCACAGGCTGTCCTTGAACTCACAGTGATCCTCCTGCCTCTGCCTCCTGACTGCTGGGATTGATTACAGGTGTGCACTACCACACCCAGCTTCTAATGCTGGGTTTCAATTACACAAAAAGGTACCAAGATATTTAAAAGTATGTGTATATCTGGGGCTGGGGATTTAGCTCAGTGGCATAAGCGCCTGCCTTGCAAGCAGGCAGTAATGAGTTCGATCCCCGGTACCGATAAAAAAGAAAAAGACAAAAAAAAAAAAAAAAAAAAAAAAGTATGTGTATATCACCTAACTACTGTTACATACACTAATAGTCTTAAGTATGACAGATGCCAGTGTGAGAAGTTGTTAAATACTCTAGACACATCAGAAAACAATGTATTGTCCAACAAAAATACAGTGCAAACTATATCCAAAGTTTAAAATTTTCTAGTACTCATATTAAGATCAAAAGAAACAGATGAAATTAATTTAATGTTTTATTTTAAAAAATCATATCCAAAAATTATATTCCTCAAAATCTGAACCTGAGGGTGCACATTAGTAACTGCAGCACTCAGGAAGCCCGAGGCTGGACGACCACAAATTCAAGGTCAGCCTGAACTACACAGTAAAACCTTGTCTCAAACAAAAGAAATTGGATGTTACTTTATAGTCACAGAATGTTTTAATTCTGATTAGTCATACTTTAAATGCACAATAGCCACATGTGAATAGTTACTACCACAGTCCACAAAGTAGGTGAAAGCTGATCACAGGAAGAAAACATGCCTGCGAAAGCTAAAAGCAAAATTAAGACTACTAGGCAAAGATTTTCACCAATGAAAGGGGGCAGTACCCAGCACAGACTTGACTATGTATGGGGGCTTACAGTTATTAAAACTAGAGAACCAGAAATGCAAATCACTAGCTAGGTACTGACCACAGCTGCAAACCAACACACGATTTACATGTGCAATTGAGGAAAATGCCCATCAATTTTTTTCAACTGCATATTAATATTTAACTTCAGCATAAAGGACATATTAAAGTTTTGTATTGCTTTGTTTTTAATTAGGTACCCAAAAGGCAAGTGAAAAATATTCTAATATAGAAACAGTCACTTTTAAAATCCTGATTGTACAAAAGGGATTTTAAAGCAAGAAATACTAGGATTCAAGATAAGTCACTCTTGTTACATTTTATCTACTAAATCTTTTAAATACACTTAAAATTTTTTTAGCTAAAAGAATTCTTTTTGGGGGGCTGGGGATTTAGCTCAGCGGCATAAGCGCCTGCCTTGCAAGCAGGCAGTCGTGAGTTTGATCCCTGGTACCGATAAAAAGGAAAAAGACAAAAAAAAAAAAATTTCGTTTTTTATGAAACTAGAATGTTTTAATAGCTTTCTGTAAATTTGCGTCAAAGATATCAAAGTGGTTCTCCTTTGTTTTTTGAAAAGACATGGGTAACACGTATTTTTTGCATTTAACAAAATCAAGTTTTTTATTTCATTTTGCAACACATTCCTAATATTAAACCTTCAAAATTTTGTGTCAGAGTTTCCATATTTCAACTGTTTTGCTGTTGTTTTGAGACAGTCTCACTGACTAGTAAAGGCTGGCCTTCAACTTGCAATAATCCTTCTGTCTCAGACTCCTGAGTGCTGGGATTACAGGCCAGCTCCACCATGTCTGCCTCAACTACCTTGTTTGAAGTATGGCCCTCAAAGCCCTCAAAGCAAGGCCAATGAATTGTACATTTAATAAGGTTTAAAAAGTGTATTTTATGTTATGTATCATTTTATCACAAAACACCAGAAAAAGGATGGCTCTGCAAGTAGAGTGTAGGGGAGAAAACGGGAAAGATACAGCAGGAAGGCACGGATTCACTCTATTTTCCTTTCTAGAAACTTACTAGAATTTTCAAGCACATTCTCTAAAGGCCATACTTGTTAGGTCAGAACTTATGTACAAAAAAAGAAAACCTATCTTCTGTGCCTTAAATACTTTACTTTTCAACTCAGCTGCTATAAATACTCATCTTGATGGTAAACATCCAGAGCAGCTGCAAAACCACTCAGACTATTATTGGTGCTTTTAGTCTGTCCTAGGACTAAAAAGAAACAAGACTGACTATTTTATTTATCTAAGTTTTGGATCAGACATATTCCTGCCCAGTATCTAACAAACGTCTTCCTTATCCACATCAAAATATTATATTGCTCAGAGAAGTAAGACTGAAAATGTTAAGTATTCCAGGAGCGCTAAATGAAAACTGGTGTTTCGGTAGCTTGTATTAGTGGGGTATAATTTGGAATTTACATTTTTAAAAAGGAGGTTGGTAGCTCTGGCTATGAACTGTTCAGTTCATACCAGCATAATAAAAGTTTAAGCCTCAGAAGTATATTTAACTACTACAGTGCCTTCCTCCTGACTGCCAAGAGCATTTTTTCCACTCATTTTAGGGGCTAAACTCCAATTATAGTAGGTACAGGTTCTTTTTTATTTTTGCAGTGTTTGAAGGAGTGTTCCCCGCCTCACCTGTGAGTCAAGCATGACAGCAGCCATTTGAGTGTTTCTCAGAGAAACTTTCAAAGCAAAAGAACCTGGATTTCGCACCGACAGAACACGGGATGGCTGGGCATGGTGGCGCATGCCTGCAATCCCAGCACTTGTGAGGCCGTGACAAGGGGATCGCTGCAAGTTCGAGGCAACCTTGAACTACAGTGAAACCCTGTTTCAACAAAACAGAACCTCAAACAAACCTCAAAAAAACATCGAATGGTAAAAACCTCGCAAGTGTCTCCAACTGGGCAAACTAACCAACTTTACAAAAAATGCCGAAGTCAAGCTCTTCATTGCACAACGTGAGGCTATGCTTGCACCGCAGGAGACGGAGGCTACAGCTGAACTATCCCAGAACACGCTGTGGGAGCCACGTGCCTACAAGATTAAGAAAGACGAAGAAAAGAGACCAATGGGGGAAGACTGGATGTTGAAACCCAGCTGTAGGTGACTGGCGGTGAGAGTGTCTATTCTACTGTATGACAGTGTCAGTTTTGATTGAGGAGTCTTCCTGAGTACTTCCTCTAGACGGAGCGGGGTCTCAGTCCACACACAAAGAAGGCGCCACTGCCGCACTGCGCTCTGGTACTCGTAGTCGCATCCCCAAACAGGGGACCGCCAGGAAACAACAGGGTATGAAGCAAGAGTAGGCCCCTCTCCTCTGCCTCTTTCAGCTACACACAAAGGACCGCGCCACCACCCCCTCGCCCCGCCCGCCGGGACTTGTAGTTCCCGTTTCCCCAGCCAAGACACAGAGAGAAAGTGGCCAGACTACAGCTCCCAGCAGCCTTCGCGCCCGAGCCCCGCACCCTTGGCCTCCATCTTGGCTGCGGTCGAAGCCTCCATTTTCGCTCCCTCCCCCCACTTTAGTCACCACTACAGCTATCACCACGCGCCCCCTTGGCTTCAACTCCCCACTACGGCTCTGTAGCCTAACATGAAGCCCAGACGGTTGAACAAGAGAACGAACGGAAAAGCCCAGGGTAGGAACTCAGGGCGGGTGCTCTCCCTACTCGGAGCTCCAGAAGTGCCCACCTTGACTCAGAAGTCTCTCCTATTAGTCTTGGTCTTCCATCCACCCTTAGCCGAGCTTCTTGCGACCCTCAAATTGGACCCGGAGGTCGTACTCACCCCAACAGCTCAGCGCCCCCTCTCCAGCGCCGCCATAAGCAGCACGGCCCGGTACGTAGGAATAAATCTCGCTTCTCTCGCGAGAGTTACAGACTCCGACTGCGTGCACGGGAAGGCGGGGGGGGGCGGGGGGAGTGCTCCGCATACGCTTGCGCAAAAGGGCTGAGTGACGCTAACCAGTGGTCTGTGTTTAACCACAACGAAGATGGTAGCTGTCTTCTAAGTTTCTTCCCGGTGTCTGGAAGAAAGCAATTTAAGTGTTTACTAACTCCTCTAGGACTCTAGGAGTGAGGTGGAACGTGATTTGGGGCGTCTCTCGGCTTTACAACGTGAATATGTTTTACCCAGCGAGACAAGGGTAAACCTTGAGCAAATATACAGGAATTTCATAAAAAGTTTCTCTTTTTCCCAAAAGTGATCCAAAATTCCTCAGTTTCTCTCTGCTCACAGGGCAAACATTCTTTCTCTTATCTTTCACATTAAAATGAAATTTACTTAGTATAGAGAGGTTTTCAGCCGAGTAATTTGGATGCCTAAGCAAGACCTCTGTCTTCCAGAAATGAACAGTTTGCAACAGATAGACATGAGTGAGCAAGGACTGTACAATCACTTCAAAATAAAGCAAAACCAAAAACCTCAAATTCCTTCAACAGACCTTTCTAGTTACCAAAATATATTTGTAGTGTATAAAAGAGCCTAAATCAGACAGGCGTGCTTGTAATAGTACCCAATATGTAGGAGGCTGAGGCAAAAGCATCCCTTGAGTGCTGGTGTTCTATGCCAGCAAGGGCAACACGCTCAGAGGACAAAAATATACTAGGCTGGCCAAGCATGGTGGCTTATATTTGAAATCGCAACACAGTGGGCAGATGAGGCAGGAGGATCACAAATTCAAACCTAGCCTGGGCACTTGAGATAACTCTTTGTTTCAAAGAAAAAAAAAGTATGTGTGGGGGAGGGGTGGTTTACACCTGTCATCCCAGGTTTGAGATTGGGAGGCTGAGGCAAAGAAAAATTACTGCAAAATGGAGGCCATCCTGGGTTACAAAGTGAGACACGTATCTCAACAAAACAAAATAGCCAGGTGTGGTGGTGCATACCTGTAATCCCAGCACTCAGGAGGCTGAGACAGGAGGATCATTATAAATTCAAAACCAGCCTGGCATATAAAGTGAATTCAGTGTCAGCCTGAATTGTATAGTGAAACCATCTCAAAAAGGCAAACAACGACAGCAACGACAAATACTCAATGGATTATCCCTTTTGAACAATAAAAATTCCAAGTCTGTTGAGAAGAATGCTTTTCAGGGTTCAGCAGCTCTTTCACTTGACAGTATTGGATAATGCGAGTCACTTTGCAAAGTGTTCCCACCCACTTTCATCTTTACAACCTCAAGGTCCAATTTAAGGTAGCAATAAGCCTGGCTAAGGGAGAGGAAAATATTGCATCTCAAATATACTTCTTAGATGTACTTTAAGTTGGTTATTCAGAAAAATTTGCAAAGACCTCTGCAAAGAAAGGCATGGCTCTGAGAGGAAAAAATCTCCTAGAATAGTAAAGGCTCTGCTGAGCCTTCCCTTAATGCCTAAGAAAAATCATTTCAGAAGAAATCACATGGTTCATGTAGAGTTTACCACCACGGATGATCTTCTGAGAGCTGCTGCTTATGTAATTTTGATTGCCCTGTAGTTCTTCTCTTGAAACTCTCAGTGGCTTGTGTTGCTACCTTTCCCCTCCAGGAGCCCAGGCTACTATTTTTTTCTATAAGATACTATGTACACATGAACTTTTTCTCTGTATGTGGCTTTCAAGTCTATGCATGTGTTAGATTTTGTTTATCTACTGTCAGTATCATAAAACAAAATAGTCAAACCTGCAAAGGGAAGTGAGAATTTTTCTTTTTTAAATTTCAAGACAGGGTCTTAGTGAGTTGCCCAGACTGGTATCAAACTTGTGATACTCCTGCCTCAACTGCCTAGAATGTGGGATAACTGTGATGCACCATGCCAGCTTTCCATGCACTTTAAAATCATATTTATTTATCATTTTGTGTGTGTAATAGCTAGAAATTATACAATTGTAAGAAAAAAAGGACACATTCCTATCCTCAAGAAACTTTCAATCTAATGTTACTAAATAATCACAAAACCAAGTTTAAACATACATATTAGAATAAATGCAATGAAAGAAAAATGTACAGTAGGAAGAGTGTATATAGAACTCTGAACAAGTTAACAAACCATCATGAACTTTTTTTTTCAAATGCATTTTATTCAAAGATAAAAAGAAAAAAGAAACTACAACAAAATTTCAAAACACATCAATCAGGGGACAACAATAGTCCATATATTGCACACTGTTATCCCCAAATCATTCACTCAGAGCAAAAGACATCAGCATTCAATTGTCCGAACAATACCAGCACAAACTTTCTCTTCAGAGAGCTCTTAAGAAGAGGCAGTATTTCATTTTTATTCAAAGATCTTCTCTCCACCGTTGTTGCTGTTGATTCAAACGCATGATACCTCTTTAGTGCTGCCTCTTTGCTTTGGTATCTTCCCATGCTTTCCTAAGCACAGATAGTTGCGTTACTTTCAACAATTTCATAGTTCACCCTTGATATTTTATGACAGGGCTTCTGACATTCATCTTTGTATCGTTGGTTCCTGGCAGTGCCTGGCCCAGACAACTCTCAAGTAAGCTTTTCAAACTCCTAATCTTCCTGCCCCAGATTCGTCAGATTACATGTGTGTACTTCCTTGTTCGAAATCTTCATTCTATTTATTTTTTACTTTTAGGTTTTTTGAGACAGGGTCTCGCTGTGTACTATAGGCTGATCCTGAACTCACTGTGTAGCCCAGACTGGCCTCAAACTCATGGAAATCCTCCTGCCTCAACCACCTGAGTGCCAGGATTACTGGCGTGCGCCAACATACGCATAGGCTACAAGGAAACTTCTTGAATGAATAGAATTGGACAGCAGTATGAGGTTTTAAAAATTGGAATGTGCTGCTGGAGAAACACAAAATATAAAACATTTCAAACCAGCAGTGTTATTTCCTTTGCTGAATTATTAAATATAAATCTCCTTTCCTGTGATATAGACGAATGAAACTCACAACCTACTGTATTCTCTAACAGTCGAAGAATGGATTTTAGAAACAATGGAAGTTCAGAGCAGAAATATTTGTTGAGAGAAAGAAAGCTCTGTCTGAGAGAAACAGAAGGGGTCCTGAGTGGGTTGCCAAAGATTCATTTTATCTGGATTTTTATAAAATGAAGGATCATGAAGTGAGGTGGGTCTCAAGTTGGGGGAAACTGGAAATTTGCAAGGCAGATGGGCCTATGGTGGGACAGAGCTATGGTCAACTAATAAGTTTAATTGTTTAGGTAAAATTGACCAAATCAGGGACAAATGGGGAAGGAGTCATATAGCAAGCGAGCATTCTCTATGAATCAGTGACTCTTATAGGGGGTTGGGATGGTGACTCTTGGCTTCTCAAAGTGATCCAGATTTAATCCCCAAGGATTATATTTAAGGTTGTGGTTGCATTTGTTTTGCCTTCTGTCTTGAAATCTGGCCCACAGCAAGAGATGTGTGTCTCCTCCAAGATCATTAGACATCTGGTTCTCTGCGACCGCTTCTTTGAGGGCCTTGCCCCATCTAACTGCCTAAAGACTTTCTATCTAGTTCAGCTGCCTGTAACACTGGCAATAGATCTAGTCAGGATATTCAAATCTATTAGTACAGAAAAACTGTCTTGGGTTCTTGCAATAGATACAAGGTCATGTGAAAGTGGCTAAAAGTTGCACTAGGTCTGGAAACACACATTCTCAAATATCACAGCAAAGAAAAGTGTAAAACATAATTGCATCACTACCAATTCTATCAATACTGTTTCTGGTTTTTTTTTTCTTTCTTTCTTTTTTTTTAATCATTTCTGATGAAGACTTGACTTCTACCATTACATGTAGCATGTATTTATTTATTTAGAGAGTCTCAGTAGGTCCCTAAATTGCTCATGTTGGACTTGAATTGATGATCAGTTAGGATTGCCTAAGCCTCCTGGAGAGCTGGGATGACAGTTGTGTGCCACCCTGCCCGACTTCGAAAACTTGTAAAGACTTAAAAAAAAAAATTGGTGGTACTAGAGATTGAATCTAGGGCCTTTGCACTGAGGTACACCCCCAGCTTTTTGTATTATTTATTTATTTACAGAGGCAGGGCCCCCTGCTAAATCCCTAATTTGCCCAAGTGGAACTTTAATTTGTGATTCTTTCTCTCCTCCCAGATCCTTGAGATTACAGATCTGTGCCAGCAGGTCTATGATAACTGATATGACTGTTTCATCACTCATATTCTGAATGTCTCCATTGCCTTTAAATTCCTCCTTGATTCAAAATTAGTACCAATTTAGGTTTATTTAGTTTGCGCAGTTTAGTGATTTAGCAATATCTTGTCTCAAAAATTAAAAAGGGCTGGGGATATAGCTCAGTGAAAGGTCCTAGGTTTAATCCACAGTAGCAAAAAATGAAAACAAAAACTGAAAGAAGTGGAAGGTAAACCTGTATATATTTATAAAGTTTTCTTGAGCAGTGGTAGATGATTAAAAATATGGGGGAGGGGTTCTGAGGATTAATAACCTAGGGTCTTTGCAGTGACCAACTTGATAGGATTGTCTTCAAAGGATAAAAGATGCTTCCAAAAGTTGAGGAGTATAAGACAAAAGAGGCCTTTATTCCGGGAACACGGGGAGAGGAGGCTGGCGTACTGGCCGCTGGAATCTGGCGATCTCTCTCTCGAACCTGTGGGGGAATATAAATAGCCTAAGCTTAGCAGTGCCCTAAGGCCATTAGAGATGCACAGGTATTTCATTGGCACACGTTTAGCGCCAGAAAGCAGGTTCCTAGGGAGGGGGTATAGGGTTACAGTTAAATCTATAGGGGGCGGGGGAGTCAGGAGGCCCCTAACTTGGCTGCAGCTTTTCCTGGTTAAAGTGTCCGGTCTGGGCCAGCAACTCTTTCACAACTTATAGTCCTTTTTTATTTTTTCATTTTGAGATAGTCTCCCAAAATTGCTAAAATGCCTAGGCTGAAGCCAGACATGGCAGCACATGCCTATACTCCTAACATTTGGGGGGCAGAGGCAAGAAG